AGAGACCGTAACGAAGAGCTTAATGAAATAGCCTCGATGAAACTTCAAGGCAATATAACGGAAAGTGGTTGGAAAATCTTTGCTCCGTTAATTAGCACGCAATTATCGTTTACGATTCTTAGAGGAAAAAAGAGACCGATCTTTATCGCGTCGGAGAGGAACAAAGTTTGGGACGAGAAAACGTTTTACGATCCGCAGATATGATTTTACAAGCGAGAATGTGGAAAGAGTGTGCCTCTAAAAGCAACCCCTAAACTATAAACTGTTAGAGCGATCCTTGAACGGACCGGTTTTATCGATTCCTTATACCCAATTCGACGGAATAACGCGCACACTCAGACTCGACGATAACATGATTCTAATTCGAATCCTGTACAAGTTGACAGGGTGAATCGTTCTTACATTATTTTTTCTGGTAGACACGCGTGTTCTGTTCTCGGTCGCGGTCGAGCGTGTTAAAATAGCGGACTGTTTACCGTGGCTACGTTCCGACTGTCACATTATTAGCGAGAGTATGGCCGCGTGACTCTGACAATCAGAGCAGAATGGGATCTAAAATTCGCAATCTCACGAATGAATCCACTCGTGTCCATTTAATTACGACACTACAATCATTAGTCTCTGTAAACTATCTAGGTCGTTGACTTTCTTCATTGAAATTTTTGGTTTTCTTGAACCTACTTTGCTACGCTTCTACTTTACGACCCTTATGTACCTGGACTCATAGATCCTCTACGTTACTACATCGTTCATTTGCTGTTTCAAGTTTTCTTTGGATCCTTGTACATCTTTGGTACTTATAGCTCCAAATCTCAGTTTTCTATACCCACAGTATCTCTAGAGTCTCACACCCTTAAGTTCATATATTCCCAATTTTCTACAGTCTCCGATTCTTATATCCCCAGAGTCCTACACCCTCACATTCGTGTATTCGAAGTTTTCTATACAGATTCTTTGTTAAAGTTAATGCATTAACCAATGCTTATACTGTTTTTGGAAAACCACACGTCCTATCCAGTTATTGTTTAATTAGGATCTGAGGCCTGCGAGTTCTCCAGGTATGCATGTACTGCCGTGGCAGTTTTTTTAGTTAGTTTTAACTGTGCGTCCTATTCTTCACCGTCTGATTTTTCTTTATAAATACAATTATACTCTGATGTTCTCCAGGCGTACATTTTATTTCACATAACCCTCTAACGTTCCTAGATCCGCAAATTCAAGTATCCTCACCTATAAATGCTAGCAGTAATAAATGAAAGAAATGAAAAGTGTTTTATTCCGCATAGAAAATTCCAAAGTAAATCCTTACAATATCCCTAATGCATTTGCGTTAATCAAATCAAGCAGCTAGAAGTTGCATGTCCGCGGAAATGGGTCAGTTCAATAAGCATGCCGGAAATTACATTCGGCAGGAGAAATAGCAGGCATTTCTGCCACCGCAGAACGATATTCTATGCCGGTGTTCTTTGTCTCTGATTGACGTTGAGTCATACCAGCTAGCAAAGAGAACGAGTATGGAAATGTATACGGACGATAATTGATAGGTGCGCGACGAAACGAGGATGGAATCGATACATCGTTGGGATAAATGGTTTGATCGAACGAGATGAATAGCAAATGAAATCTAATTTGAACATTACTTTCGTCCGATGGTTAAACGAATCCATCTTTCACCGTGCCTCCGCTTTGACGCTGCTCAATTTCACTTACCACGAGTTAATTAATTATTCCATTGTTCCGTGAATTTCCACGTTCGAGGAAATGCTCGATGGATTTCATTTTTATAACTTTTACTTTTTGTTCGTATTTGTAGGAAGTTGGATCGACGACTTTCGCAAAAATTATTTTCTAATGCTTTCGCGAGAATTATTTTCTGCTACTTTCAGATTATTAATTATATATTTCGAAGATGCGAAACTTTGAAATTTAAATTTCAATATTCCGATTTCAAATCGAAATTATTAAGATATCTGCACCTAAGAGGTCATCGAGAAGATCGCTGTATGGAAACACGTCGAAACTAAAATTCTTAGTCGATGTTTTAGCGAACGTCGATTCTATGCTAAACACGAAGATAGCGAATTCGAGCGTCACCACTTTCTCCGTCTCATTAGAGGATCGATACTCGAGGTCGAAAGTGAATTTCTCGAGCTACGTGACAATGACCTTTAAGCTTTGTTCACGTGGTGAATGAACAGAAAAAAAGTATTCTGACATAATCTAAAATAGCATGACCCAGACCTACGCTAAAATTATTAAGCAAAACATTTGCAAAATAGCGTAATTGGCGTAAATGATCGTGAGCCAATAAATAACCAGTCAATGTGTCGATTTCGAATTTATATTAACATTTTAACACACCGGCAGATTTGAAGCAACTTTGTGTTCACGTAGCGTATCGATGAGTCGCTACATCTTGTACATTGATTCGGTATTTATGTAAACGACGATGCAGTTCCAATTAACGATTTAGTGGAAAAAACAAGGACTATTTTGCACGGCCATATTTCAAGATATTCGTTACAGTTTCGAGGCAATTTCTAAGATTACGGTACAATTTACGAACGCGGCTCTAAAGGCATTTTACTATCGCGAGTCGACGCGGAGCATTTTCCTTCGGAAGGATTTTCCAAACGTTATGGCATGTTCTTATATAAGAAAGACGGTGACCGCTGAAACGAAATAAAATGACCGTGTCGAACGCGAAATCTCGCAAAACGACGATAATTTAATTGCGACTGGTAAGTGTTACGCGCGTTTCGATGACGGGAAAAATGTTCCGTTGGAAGGCTCGAACGCGAGACGCGCAGGAAGGAAATAATATTATCGACGTTTAACGAGATTACAGCAGAAGGATTTATTTCTTCCGTACGGGAATCGAGGCTACAAATTATCCGGCAATTAGATCGTAAATCACGGGGAAACGCGTTAAACGAACGAGGCGATCACCGCACGAAACACTTGTCTACGACATTAACATTTAATTAGACTTTTCTGTATATATAGGTAAGCAGCGCGAAACCTCCTTTGAAATTACAGTTATTCGCGCGATGCAACTATACTTACGGGTTACGTGTGCACGTGCGACGACTTTGTGCAACGAGCCACGCGATACGTTCATAGATAAAAATTGAAAAATTATCGTTCCGGTCTAAACGGTCGGTATCTAGTCCACGGTAGCTATCGAGCATGCATGTCGATCGACTGTTCGAACGCAGACATACGTAACGTTCGAGAATAAAATTTACGTACAGGGTGTCCTCAAAAACACTCAAAGATTGTATACATATGAAAATCACTACTACTCTTAAATAGTAAAATAGTACTACAAATACTAGTACTAATATAATAATTGTATACCGAAATTAATGGAACAGAGACGTAAAATTAGTCGAACGATAAATTTTATTTAAACACCCTATGTGTACGGATAAATCACAAATTACGATCACGTGATCGCGGAGTACCACGTGACCGCGGAGCATCACGAATGATCCGTAAAAATCGGAAGCGGGACAAAGTGCATTCTCGCTAGAAAGTGCAGCTATCGATCGCGTTGTGCACTTTCTTTCTTACGACGATTACGTGTAGAGTCAGTAGGGTTCAAGGAACGGTGCATATGCACAAAACGCCTTCACTTTTCTTTCGCGAGGCTACCATACGCACGTGTATTAAAACCAGTCGGAAGCTGAGAATATTTCTATTCCCAGCGATCGAGAGAGGTGGAAAAATGAATAAGTAACAATGACTCTAAGAGGCAAGTAGATTACACGCTTCGTTAGTGTATAGAAAAAAATGAAAGAGGAAGGCAGACGTGGATGAAAAGCTCGGTTCGTATTTCAGCGAGGGAACTTATATAGACTGGATCGAAAGGAATGTTGTAAATACGCGATCGAACTAGAATCCAAACATTCATTAATTCCTTCGGGAATAATTAAGCGCAACTGGCTGTAATAAAGGCTGATCGGTAACAAAAGTCAGCTAGATCACGGTACACATACGAACGCGAAGCAACGCACGAACACCGGCATAGAATGACGTGCAATGTTTCTATGGAGCGTTTAAATACCGAAGGTAACGCCTCTTACTCCTGTATAGAATGTACGGCACCTTGTAGCCGGTGCACGTTGTACGTGTTGGTACATTAATCGTCGAACCCTATACCGAGTTTCGATTTCTACCTTGGAATCCGCTTGGCTCCGATATATAGGTTCGAGCTTTTCCACGATGTTACAGCATTGATATATGCGTATACATATGCGCGACACACTTCGAAATTATCGGACCAGACACGTTACACCCTCAGGCTACATTTCCACGTGACGACAAATCCCTGTTTTCGAAGAAATTCTACATTTTTAAACCGATACGATTCACTAGTAAATGAAGTAAATAAACATTAGTCAGTGTGCACGAGCAGTGTCACGTGGAAACGTATCCTAACTTATATTCGCAGAAAAGGTAACGGTGCGTTTAGATGGAACGAGCAAGAACACAAAACAAAAATAAAACAAGTATTTCATAAAATTTCGATCCTATCAAACAATTAATCGCAGACCGAATATGTATGAAACAAAAATTCAGAGATCGTTGTCATTACGGTGAACCGAATCGCGTTTATTAAAACGTGTCGAATCGAATTGCGTCGGAGTGAACTGCATAAAATTGCATTGGGTCAAACCGAATGACGTGTAATTGAATCGTGTCGAATCGAATCGTATCGAGTAAAATTGCATCGAACGATCGATCAAAGCGAGAACGAAATAAGCGTTTGCTCGGCAAATCTAAACGCACCCTAAGCTACGGAGCATTCGCGAATTCTCAGGTAAAATATCGCAACGTTGGAATGGCGCGTGTGACTCGCAAGCAAAAACAACAGGTGACCGAGAAAATCGATGGATAGCCGAGTATGGAATTCGTAATTTCGATACTCGCTAAACGATTCGACGATAAAAGGCTTCGAGAGACAAACACGAGACGATAAAATGTAATTTACTTACGGTGAGCTGTGTCTTGTCAGGAGCGATCGCCGTGATCTCCACCGGCCTTGGTTCAGGTGGGTTCGCTTTGCTAAGAATGGCAGCTGGCATTTTCGCGACCAGAGATAGCCTCCTGGTGAGCCGTCTACCTAATTCCGCGCGTCGTCGCACCCTAACACGGGGACCGGTACCTTTGTATCCTCCAAATTCCATTCTGCGAGACTAGTAATCCTTCCTTATCCCCTTGCGTTCATGGCGGCAAACGGTCGTGTCACGTGTTCGCAAAATTACTCGATCATATCGCGGCAATTCTCGACAGCCACGATTGAAAACTACACGACTCAACGACGGCCTCGTGATCGTTCATGTCCAGGCTCGTTCCGTATCCTTTCACGATCGGCGCACACATCCTTCACTCGTCATTGCTACTTTCGTTGTTCGCGTTTGTTTTTCGAAAATTTTACGCGTAACACCGTCGATACGAAAGCGTACGCGACGCTGCTGCCCCGAACAACACGTTCGAAAGTCGTTAACTATCCTCGAGGATTCGATTCGATTCGAGTCAAAGATCGCTCCATGGGGTTTTGTCACTCGCGACGAATCATCTTAGAAACTAGGTCGTAGACGCGTCGTACACGTACACGGTGCTTTTCGTATGCATTCGAATACGCGAGTACTGGTTCTCGGAGCAACGGTTGTCCACACTGGGTTACACGTACAACGTAAACACTATAGCTGGGATGCTGGAGGCTCGGTTACCGACACACACACGCGCGCCCTACTGATGCGATCTCCGTCTGGCAACGGACGCATCCGAGTCTCACCGACACGCGGTTGAACGAAGACGCACGAACGTGCACGAAGAGATTCGAAAAGCGAGGCACGAGGTGCGGAAAAGAGAGCAGCCGGTTCTTGCTGGCGCTCGGTTTGCCTGGCGCGCTTCGACTGAAATTGAATCGCAGCAACCTCCTACCATGCTGCCCGTCACACTGCCGGCCTTCCTATACCCTACAACCGCCACGGCGCGCCTCTTCGTCACTCTCGTGTCTTCGATGATCGTTCAACGCGCACAGTACAAATTTACGTAAACAAAACGTGCACCGAAAACGCCGTCGAACTTGCACGCTTCCCGAACAACGATACACTCGCGTAACCAATGCTCGCGATCAATTTCGACGAATCAGCGACTCCGAGTCACTCGCCGCTAAATCGTTCCAGAGGTGTCACTTTCGATTATCGATACTTTATCGGCACCTTATTCGTATCGAATCTTAGAGAGCGGAGTCATTGAATTTGATTCGAATAGAATGCCACGAGTATTAAGTTTATCGTTGTTTATTGTTTACGATTGCCGATTAGATTTTGAAATTTCATCTCGACAGCATTGTTCGCGTGATGATTGCCGAATAATTGAACCGTTAATGAAACTCGTAATTCTACGTAACGCGTGCAACATAGTTTCTCTTAATTAACTTATTGGATGTGGAAAGCAGTGAAATTTTTGAAAGTTTGCATTACTCTCGAAAACTTGTATTAACGATCGATTGTGCGCAGATCGATTGCGACACCTATTCCTCCTCGGTATTATTTATGAAGCGTGTCAATCAGCGCTCGCGAGGACAAATCGATTTGTGTACACGATACAATGCTCCTTTCGTTAAGGAACATAACAGTTTTCGAATACACGGAAGCTATTATTGTTCTGATCTAGACATTCGATGATATTGAATACGTATAAAAGCAATCGACTACAATTGGCATGATTAGCATGTGTTTGCACTTGTTATGTTACGATCATGGCAGCGCCAACGACGCGAAGCCGACATCACGCTGTTCGCTCGCGGTAAATAAATTCTTCAGCCTATAAATAACGAATGCTTGTTACAAAAGTTCATTTCTGGTCAAGTCGTGTCAAGTATTTTAATTTCCTTACGTAACAAACTCCGTACAATTCGTGGTTAACCAAATTTTGATCTTTTGTAAATTTCGCACCAATTCGAGTATGCTCTGAAACAAGTCTATTTAAATACGAGTTTTGGTTAAGATTCTTGGGAATCGGTAGGAAGGTCAAACCGTTTTTCACGATGAAAAGCATCTTTATCGCTATTAATCTGTTACAGGAAAGAAGTCTAATTCGTGGAAAGTTGGGGAAATCTGTGAAACAACCTGTAAACGATGTTAATGTCCAATGCGAAGTGAAGCGCGTTTATATTCAATTTTACACAATCGAGCAACGCGGAAGGAAAGTAGGACCGTTTCACCCTTGACTTTTCACCGTTTCTACTTGCTTTGTTGAACAAAATTTTATTATACAGCAATCACGAATAGTGACGAACACGGACAACTATGAAATCCAACTCGATGCAGCAGGATAGGCTTGTTAAACAGAACGAGATTAGCCGTCAAAGGCTTGAGCAAGAAATTGTGAAACTGGAGAAGGTGGAAAAGTCGGACTTGAGGATGATGGAGACTGTGAGGCATCGGTTTCGTACGCGACACAAGAACCTGAACATCTCTGAACAATCATCTGGATCAAACGTAATTATGATCTCGTGGTTTCCATTTCGTTTCTATCGAAGCTCTGCAACAGTAGGAAACGCAGGGTCGGTAATATACTAAACACAACCGATGATTGCGTATGTAGTTACCACGTGCATCAGAAGCGAATGTTATGTGCACTCCGTTAATTCGTATTACGTTAATACATGTTATATATTAATTGCGGACACAGTAATTGACGCGCAGGCTATCAACGTGCGCATGTACGAAACCCATAATCCTGGCTTTTGCTACCATTGCACGGGTGCCATCAAAGAAATCGGTCGACCGATCAAAGAGCATATTACCAAAGATTGCTACGAGTTCGTGCGATCGATAGTGTTCACCAAAGACGAGGTAGACCCCGACAAAGTTCTTTGCCTTCATCTGTTAACAGCGCACAGCCCAAAGTGGAACAACATCGACTCCGCCATGGTCAAACCTGTCTCGCCTTTATTAGAAGAAGGTATATATTGTAAACGAAGCACGCGTAAAAGATAATTAACTAATCGATGACCGTTTCAAGCTAAGAATAAACCTTTCTCTGGCGCATGGAACAACGTCTTGCCCTGTTACGTGGTCGTTCTTGAAGAAAAGCCGACCGACATGAAACTACATGAAAATCCAGCAGAGCAGTGTTTGGAGGAGCAAACCATTCGCGAGTTTGAGGAAAAGTATAAGCAATACGTGGAGAACAATACTGATTTTAATAATAATAATAAGCGGGCAAGGACAACGTTACACTGTTTGGAGAAAACTCCAACGATAACTCCGCACGTTTATTCTTTGCTGGGTGCTTCTCACGAGCTGAGAATCAAGCAAGCGCTCGCCGAAGGTGTTGCCAGGAAAAAATTAGATCGTTTCAACATGGAACTAAGTGGATTGGACGAGAAGAGTCTGTCTTTCCATCTAGACGACGACGAGGATGATCTCGTAAGCAGAGGGACGACAAATATGTCCAATAGAAATTGGATCACGAGATCGACGAGGAGTCCGTCCAGAAGATCCGCGATGGGTTCGTTTAGGCTCGATCACGATATTACCATGTTGAAATCCAAGCGACGAAAGAACTTCGATGGCACTTGCAAAGATCTCATTATTATAAAGTCTAGTTTCACTAAAGATGCACCGTCCAAAACTCCCAGCACTAAATCTCAGTTTCACAACATGTTCGACAGCCGTCCATCATCGAATTCCGTCCTTTCGTACAATCAAACAGAACCTCAAACAACGCAGTTTAAAAAGTGTATTTATTTAAATGCACCGCCCCGATCCATCGAACTTCGTAAGAAAGATTACAAAATTGTGCCGATCCTTGTAAATTATCAGCTTCAGGCATTGGTACAAACGGTAATCGAGGTTCTCGAAAGGGTGAACCCTGAAAAATTAAGGAAAATAATGGAGACAGTCAGAGATACAGATAAAATCAAAGAAATGTTGTTGCGACCAGAGATACTAAACTTTGCGCAATCCTTGTTGGGTCAGTCTTTGGTATCCTCGCCAGAGAGCTTCGTCGTTTCGGTTGCGACCGTGGCGAATGAAATAGATTTTCGGTTCGGAGGAATTCTAGAGAAGGAAATAATCGCTTTGACTTTGGAAGTGCCGTCGATTTCCCCGTTCGACTGTCTGATTGCCGAGATACGGAGGAACATATTTCACAAGAAAAAGTCGAGTCGGCTGAACGAGAATGCTTTTCTCGACAAAATTTTCTGTGCCCGAAATAAAAGAAGAACCGAAAAGGAAAACGCAGAAATTTCATTAAACGCCATACCCACGGATAATAAGTAATACTTATGTGACTTGCTCCTTATATAAATTACAAATTTCTTTTTAATTACTCCTATATACTTTCAGATCGAAAATTAAACGGTTCTCCAACACCGGTAAAAATAAAAATTACGCAAGGGAAAGATCTGCCAAGCTTCAGGAAACTTCCAGAAACGGTAAGATTCGTGATTCACTGAATTATCAAGTAAGACTGAGGTTCCGCTATGGAAACAGATAAAAGAATGTATTAGATGCTAATTTATACCGTTGGTAATAATTTTCTACTACATAAGATGATTTTTTATGAAGGCGAGAATTGCATTGCAAACAAGTCACGGGAAGATAACGTCGAGCAAGGCAACGATATAAAACGCAGTGGCAGCTGGAGGAAAACCTCAAAGATAAAAAGCGTGGAGCAATCGTCAATTTCAGGAAGTAATATCACTAAACGCGCCTCGAATTTTAAAGTAAGTCTTGCATAAAAAACGATGAAGTATAAAAAGATGCAACGTTATTGCATCGGCACGAATGCATTTGAAGGTTTGAAATATTCAAAGGGGAAAGATCTGATAAGGAATATTTTTTCTATTCTTTGTGGCTGCAGACTTGGAAAACTGCCCGGGATCATGGACATTTAGACGCCGATCATGTAATATTGCGAAGAATGACGAACCCGCAAAGAATTCTAGTAGGACAAATGTGTGCCTCTCTTAAGGCCAGGAAAATTAATAACCAAGGTTCGATCGTTTTTGATTAACTTATTAATATTCGAATCTTCGTACTATATAATGGTCTCACGATTTATAAAAAATTTCAATTAATGTATGTTATCGTTGACAGAGAATGTTGACGTTGGTAAATTTATACACGATTGTTACGTAGGTTTAATTAACGAAAGCGTTCCGCTTGCGGCATTAATTGCACCGGCTCTTTCACGTGATTGCATTAAATTCTTGACCCGAGGAACGGTATATACGAAAATAAACCCGATAAACGAGCAAGAAGAAATGGAAAATAATGTTACAGTCCCGGATAAACTGACCGGTTCTCTTCTTGCTAAGGTTTGCAACTGAACATTCTTACTTATTCGTTTTACATGCTTCTATATAATTCATCGACGAATTGAATGTGATGGTTGATATGATTTCTCTTAGATACGGCAAGATATGACGGAAAGCGAAACGAAGCGACGTTTGATATGTTTCCTGAACAAGGACGTGACGTAGTTAAAATGAAGCATTGTTTATAATCGTTTTAATGGATTTGATGACTTTTTATGTAATAAAAGATTGAAAAGGTTCAAGTGATTCCTAATGTAAAATTTAGACGCAACATTTCTTAGTACATATGTAATTTGAAAGCAGTGCTGCCTGCGCCATCTGATAGTAAACGGAGACATTTATTCTATTACAACGCATTGAACTAAGCACATTTCATGTGTATATTAACGCTCGCTTTATGCACGATTCGGGATTACAAACGTCGTACATTAATCGCGCGTGAATTATCAAGCGTATATTGTATTTTTAATTCATCGCTTTATACAGTAGAGGGCATAACAAAACCCCTATCTTTCTTGCGTGGTCGGTAATTCAGTACTGAATTACAGTTTTGTACCTCGTCTGTAATATGAAATTAAAAACGTATAAAAATCATTTCTCCAGAACAGTATACATTCTTTAATGTAATACCAGTTCCACAATTTACATATAATACAACTTATAATTTTCGTATTCTATTAGGAATTCAGAAATGTATGTAGTATATGTTTATTGCTTACATCTGTTATAGCTAAAGCAATCAGGTTGTTGTAACACTTTATAGGAAGTGGCATAAGAACCATATATGGATATGAAAGAAACGTAATCTTCTATTGTTTACAATTTTAATGTATGTTCTTATAATAAATGTATTTTACGAGATCCACAGATAAATTTTGTACACTTTACTCGATAAATCATAATTGAAATAATTTGTATAATAATGTTCTAATGAATATGATTGAATCGAGTTGGTCAGCTGATCAACGCTGCGCAATCGCAGTTGCGCGACTGACTAGACTCAAAAGAACAAGTTTGCAGTTTTAAATGACGCATAAACTTATATGTGTATATGCATAATAAAAAAAGCTGACTTTTAAAAGCAAAACTATAACTATTGAATTGAAGTAAAACACATTGTGATCGGTGTATAAACAGCGTTCGACAAAATTAGTGAAAGAAGATTTTATCATATTACGCCATGTTCGCCGATGTGGAAAAAGTATTCCAGATGTATCACAGAATTTCTACACATGTCTATATTGAAAATTTCTAATCTACATCGAAACAATGCTCAAGATTTTACTAAGAACAGTACGAGATTCATTTTAAAGTACAAACCTCGATACAAGTAAATTGATTGCATATATGCGGAACGATATGTACGAATGTTATACATGTTTTTTTTAAACAAACTTTTCTGAATATTACAATAAACTCCTGACGGCATACATTTGACGTGTCTTTAACTGTTCTTTTTTAGAAACTGACGATCTATTTAATTGTCAATTAATTGGCAAAAATGTACACGTTCAAACCATTTGTGTTCATGAAACACGAAGCACAGAGCGTGGAACGTCCAAAGGGTAGAAGTGGACATAGAATAGTCTGTAATGATAAAAATTTGTATTCGTATGGTGGCTTTAATCCGTGTATTCCCGACACTGATCCTGACATGAGAAATGACCAAGTATGGATTGCTAGTAAACCACTTTTCAAGGAAGTATGGAAGTTTAATCTTGTTACGCAACAATGGAAACGATTACCGGGTCAAGATAATATGCCCAATGAACTTGCATCTAATGCAGTGGTTTTGAGGGGTAATGCACTGATGGTTTATGGTGGAACTGGTGTGCCGTTTGGAGAAAGTTGCAGTAATCATCTTTATGTGTGTAACGTCGACGATGGTAAAATGTATACAGTTCCAGCAAAGGGAGAATTACCTGAACCACAGTATGGACAAGCTTTAATTTGCCATGGATCATATTTGTACACTGTTGGTGGAACTACTGGATACGAATATACTTGTGATATTCATAGATTTAATCTTAGGACTGGTGTTTGGGAACCTGTTTATATATGTTCTGGAAGAGATCAAAGTGAACCTGCAGGACGATATAGACACGAGTTAGCATTTGATGGAAAACTTATTTATGTTTTGGGTGGAGGAACAGCTGCTGAAGCATTTGGTTTTTCTGTAGGTGCAGTAATATATTATATTGTGATGTTTACTGAATTTAAATTAAAGTAAAAATTGTTTAATTAAGAGTAATTTAAGTGAATTATTTTGTACAAATCATTTATTACGTTACACTTATTTGCAGGAAATCCCTGCTTTTGATTTAGAAACAAACAAATGGATAGTATTAAATACTTATGGTGACAGTGATAATAACACGGTACCGGAACCTAGACGTTGCCATGGTTCTGTTCAATACACAGATGAAAAAACAGGTGTTACCTCGGTAGTAATATCTGGAGGATACAATGGTGATCATGTCTTTTCTGATGTTTGGAAATTAGATCTGAATATCTTACAATGGACATGTTTAAGAAAATGTATCCTTCCATGCCCTGTATATTTCCATTCTGCAGCTCTTACACCTGAAGGACGAATGTATACATTTGGAGGAATAATTAGAGTGAATAATGAGGTTATTACAATTTACTTGCTTATGTAACTATTATTTTGTTTATTGAAAGTTATTTAAAAGAATTTCATTGCAGATTGCTAGGACAAATGCAGTTCATTCTGTTTGGTTGACCATCCCTAAATTGTCAGAAATGTGTTGGCAAGCAGTTATTTATTACAATCCAGACATAAGGCATAAGACACGCAATGAATTACTTTGCATGGGAATACCATTAAAGTTTGTGCAAAGAATCGATTGGTATGATACATAATGTTTAAGAAACTTTTTGATATTTATTACATATGCAGTGCGTTACCACTCTGATCATTGTTACCAGTTATTTATTGCATGAATATTGTAATTGTTGAACATTATTGCCATAATTTATTTACGATATTTTTATAAATATGGTAATAGTATGTTGGTCAATTAGTTTACAGGATATTATTCATTCTTATGTTTCCCAGATGTTTTTCGAATTTATCTTTTTGTGCAATTATTAATTATTTGACAAATAATGTACACTGTTTCTAGTGGGCTATTGCTTTCTTTATAATTTATTATAACATATTTACATTTTTGACCGATTTAAAATTGTACATATTTAGAATTGCAATACAAAAACTTCTATACAAAAGTTTATTTGTTTATAGATCAATATTTACGATTAATATTTTGATTATAAATTTCATCTGAACTTTTGAATCATTGTTTTCAATATTTTTTGATACATTGGTACTTTCATTACAATTTTCAATTAGTCGAAATTAGTATCTTATTTAATTGATGAAATAAAATTTCATATTAATAAACTATATTACATCCCATTTAAGGTAACTGATACATATGCTAACTAATTTACGTTATGCACCCTACAGTGCTTACAGCAACAATAATAATAATAATAATATATTATGTCCATGTACCTTACTAAAAAAATCTCAAGATATTTTTTCTTCATATGCACATTATGGCTTGTTATTCTAAAATTTTTGTTTGTACATATATAAATATAGATAAACAATAATAGATCAGTAATAATAAAGAATAGAAAACATTGCCAGATAATGTTGGTTAATTTTGATTATGATATTTAATGAATTTTATATATTGAAAAATCAAAAGATACACTTATATAGTGATGTGATAACAATGTATTTCTTTATATACTTGTTCTTCACTGCATATTGCGCAAAGTAATGTATAGTTTCTCTTCCTTCAGTAATATCACACATTAGATACTATAGCTTATTAGCAAAAAAATTATACACTTTCAGCAACAAATTAAAACAGTACAAACGTACATGAACTTCGAACAAAATAGTCTTATATATTCAATCAATAAATTCTAATTTAATTTGCTAAAGAAAACAGAAAAAAGAATTATTTTTAAATTTTATTTTTATATAAACATAGCATAAAAAATTTCATTTAACTCTTCTATTCAAGACAGTCAACCAATAGAAAGTGCTCCATTACCGATGAATGCCTCCTTAACAATGATATTATTGATAGGGATACTATTTAACTTAATTTTTTTTTATAAAACTGGCCTGTGAGTATAAAGAATAAATCAAACACGATGTCAGAAACTAAGTTTTAATGATACAAAATATTACGTATGTTCAATTTCGTTCTAACACTGTATTAATTCTGGTAGGGTAATTTCGGGAGAGACGCATCATGCGGACGCATGCACCATTTTTTGAACCTGTCACATCAAACGATTGGCAACGTTGATCCATCTATCGGTGATATCATTATTGTCTATAAATATCATCTGGTTAAAAAAAATGTCGATTATGTTTTCGTGCAATAAAGGTAAAAGAACTTTTTCACTATTTTGAATTATGTACGAAATATTTTCATGCACAGTAAGTAAATACTTCATTACCTTGTTATTGCGTGATTTTGACTGTTATTACTGGTTTAAATAGTGACATTAACTCCTTTTAATATAATAACGTGTTCTGACATTTTTTGTATTTGCTAGTTTCTGTTATGTACAGGTGCATCTTTCTCTCAATTTAAGGATAGATGCATCACTTAGGAAAAAAGATAATTGTATCTAAAATTATTTTAATTAAAAGAGAGGCTAATATACAACAATTTACTACTAAAAACTTTGATGACTATTGTACTTAAAATTTGGAAGTTTAGAAATCGTTTAGCTTTAGAATGAGTTGGATTCGTTGCCTAATTTGCCTGAAATGGGCCCATAAAATTTTTATCATCTATCATGTATTCGATAATATATGTCGAAAGGAAGAAGAAAGAATAGAATTAAAAAGAAGAGAGTACAAATGAATACTAAGAACAAATAAGTACAATTTCGAAGCGTAGGGTGCATCTAACCATAGGACATAGGGAGAGATGCATTTTTTCCAAATTTTTTCAGAAAGCATATGACTATGTCAAAACAACGTTTCTATAGTCTCGTATTATATTTTTCAAAGGGATTAAAATAAATAATTAAACTACATTCACGTATATTTTCAGTTGCATTTATAACGTTATAAGCAGTAAATAAAATGTGGTGCGTCTCTCCCGAAATTACCTTATATGTGTGTTGAATTGTGTAAGGTATACATACTTAAACGATGTCTGTTTATTTGTTATTAAAAAAGAAAGAATAATCAGATTGAATTAAAAGGATGAATCCATCTTGTGTAACAAATCTTTTTTGCTTAAAATAAACACACGGAAGAAAATATAATGATACTGCTTCTTCTTCGGCACAAAAAGGAACAAAGTGTAATGCGCGATAAAACGTTGCCTTTTTCTGCATTCGTAACAATTCTGAATGCAGAACTTCATATCAAACGGACAACGTGTTTGCGTACGATTTTTGGAGTACAAAATAGCTTAAAAAATGTACCTTATTAAGTACGCGATTTGCAGAAAACGTGCAATACTTCTGCACGACGTTATTGAAAGATAGCAGAGGGAACAAACGTGGTAATGAAAAGAATAAGTCACATGTACATTGTGGTGCGAAATGCAATGGAAGTTTTGCCTTAAACTTAGATAAACGAAATTATATTCACATTTGTACGAGATACATTATAATCAGTGTCGCCGCCAGAATTTTTTGGTCAAGTACATACAGTAGACTCTTGTTGTATTGCCATTTTTATATAGATGTTTAAGCATAAAAGTGGCGTTTCTTCTGCGGAAAAAATGATCGCGAATGCTGACTGTAGATTGTTATGCAAGAGATCATTATGCGTTGTATTGCAACGTATTAAATTGTCGCGCATTGTATCGATGTACACAATATTGCGACGCGTTATACTGCCACCCGTCAGAAAACTTATTAGCCAACCAAATGTATTGCCAATTTCTAGAATCTTCCGTTCACAAAACCCTTGTCAGTGGCAATATAACGAACGTCTACAGTGAATCGACATTTCTGCTCATCTACGTTGAGTAAAATTGACCAAATTTTGCCAAAACGTAGGGTCCCTTAACCACGAGATCTGGGACAAATTTCCGTTTTCCCGACGCAAGCGGCGGAACTGATTATGGTTCTAATTCTTTAGCGTCATTCGAATTATTCTTAAGTAGGCACAAAAAGGAAAGGTTGTTTCTCTTCTCATTGTTCAATTCTCGGTGTTAATTATCCAAATTTAAGATGATACACCATAGGTGTATCGTAACGAAAAAAGGTAGATTGTAAATAGGAAATTGAATAAAATTAAACTGACACTCTTACTACTACTTATTTCTCTTCACGCATCCCTTAATAAAGCTACACGAAAACGCTTACGAATTTTATATCGTTGAAATCAATCATGTATGCGAGAAAAATTGTAAACGCCAATCACGTACAGCGAAAGCGTATTTTGTGAAAAAGCAATGTAATAAAAATAATATCGCTACGAAAGCAATACTCGGAACATTGTACAGATACAAATTATATATGGACGTATCAAACGCAAGGGTTTTCAGGCAGCTGTGCAAAGAGTTCATTGAAATCTAAATTGGTACATTGATGAAGCAATTAAGATCTCATTTAATGGGCTGGATGTTAATTCCTCTTGTTGCCTTTATCTTATTAAGAAATACGGTGAAAGTATCTTATAGAACATGTATGATGATTATATTCATTTTTTTTCTTTTTCAACGAGCGCACACATGTTCACTACGATGCTCACGAGACGTGTCAACAATATAATTAGACTTATTACAGTCAAACTGTAGCGTGTACTTCTACTTAATATACTGAAAAGTTTTTGATATTTCACTGGACTCGATTAATGCGAGGAAATAATGTAAAAGTAGTTTACATTATACGTATTTCTTAAATATTAAATTGATTAAAAGTATAAATTGATGCTTGTGTCCTTTGGTTGTAGCAGAAGAAGGAAGAGAATGCGGTGGAAAAATTGTACTTATGTTTTATAGGAAAGGGGAAAAAAACATTGTAAATTACTTTCGTTGCACAAACAAGTGGAAAATTTTTTATTGTATGCTTTAAGAAAGCTCGCTGTAATTTATCGCTATTGTACAAATAATGAAGGATGGAAAGATAAAGAAAAGGTGCTATATAAACTGCTTCTACATTTCTTTTTTATCGTATTACCGAAATTGCATTTAGCCCGAGAAACTGCAGGTTAAATTTCGTTATACGTATAAAATACGTCGAAGATTGTTTGAAACATTTCTTTTAGACCTCAGACGATCAATATATGTATAGAATGTTTCTAGTAACTGAGCAGACTACATATTTCAAATTTTATAACTTTAATATTTCATTTTGCAATCTAAAATATCTCGTGAATTATTTTTTTTACATATTAAGCTTCAATAGTTTTTTATTTAGTAGAGTTAATACGCTTTAAATAGTCCCATTTTAGAAAATGGTGCAGTTATATTCATTACGCACATCCTTGCACTTATAAAAGAATTAAAATTGTAAAAATAGAAGTCCTGTTCAATATTTTCAACATCTCAGTATCGTGTATAAATATTGAAAACCCTGAAACATACATGTATGTATAATACATTGTCTGGGATCTGCATTAACGATATAATATCGCGATTTGCATAAACCGTACAACATTGAAGTTTAAAAAATATTATTCAATTGTTATCGAACAGATTAAGAAAAGAAAGATAATATCAATAAGAAGAACTTTTGCGAAGTTGCAAGTTTTTAGCTAACAATTTCCGGAGATAGTGCAAAGCGATGAAACCAAAGTGCATCGTTCGGATACTTTCGGAAACGACACTCGTGGACTCGTGCGTTTCCGTTTCGCGCATGATCACAGTACAGAGGGAGTAGCATAACCCGATTAACCAAAGCCGCGGATCGTTTCATTTCGAGTCAGACGTCTGCTCTCTCAAGTGGCAGTTTGCTGTCTTTCTGCGTCCAAGATATATCATCGCTTCATTCCCATGTCTTCGACATATCTATCTCCGCGGTACATCGTAATGTACGGTGAAGTGTTTATGTAGTATTCGTTGCAACCGTAGACACCATTCACGAGCCAGACGAACATCTATCCATCCATCCATCCATCGACATCGACCTGAAACAACCTCGTGGACTTGGTCAGTGAAAAAGAGCTCTAATAAACGTTCATTCAACATGGAGCAGAAACGCCTGTACAAAGTGGTACTCACTGGAGGTAAGCTATTTATTTTCTTTCTTGCAAAATTCATTGCCATGTATTCTGTTCGGAAGATTGATTTTCGTTTAATCGGGTGTTTCTATTCTTCGGTCAAATTGGCTGAAAATAATGTCGTCGAAAAGGCATTTACGTGTCCATGAAAACCACGTGTTCGAAACCACTTCTTTCCGATCACCTTGCCCGATACTTTCCGTTTATCGCATTCGTATTCGTCAAGTTTTTTTTATGCACGAATAAACGAAGCGAAACATATCTCGCTTCCGCTTTTTCGTTTCCGTGACAATCACGTTACGTTCAATGATGCTTTGCGAGCTTATCACGGGCGTGAAAATATTGATTGAATTCCTTGTTGAACGTATGCGAGCAAATTGCATTAAATTTCTGAGTACTGCTCTTTTTTGTCGAATATTTAAACGAAATTGATTTCAAGATCGATTATACACATGTATATAAAAGATCGATGCGACTCGAAAAATGTTTACAGTGAAATACGACTTCGAAAACAGTGACAGGTCGATGCATCTAAAATTAATCGTTAGAAACGTATATCATAAGTCATTTGCATATGTAGAGTCGTAATAATACATGATAATTTATTTATTTGATACGTATATTCGAAACATTAGCGAGATCTAAATTTGACATCGAATTTCATGATGAATACAATAGTTGAATAATCGAACAATTATCATTACCACCATCTTTTTTTATATCGAAATCACGATCGATTTAACGAAGCAAGATCGTCGAGCAGAAATAGAATGGCTGTTCTAGAATTATTAGCCTTCGTAAATGAAAGATCGATGATCAATGATCCATCGTTCGATTTGGCTCGATTATTTCGTGTCGAACATGTACCCCCGTAACACAAATGCGATTAACCTCTACAATTGCTCGTAACAATACTCGGTTCGATACTGTCGATCTATTCCATACTCTTTTCTTCCACCGCGAAAATCAAGGCATTCAACGCGATAGGAAAAGTTTAATGTCTAGTATTATTAATAAGATATTATTAATAAAAATGTCGGGTTAACCTTCAACAATAAGTAGTTATTTCTATAAATTCTTTGTTACGACATCCTCGAGAGTGTTGCGCAATATTAACACGTTTAAAATATTCAAATTTTTTTTACATGACAATCAGTAACAATACTATGTTGTTTACATTTACGGCTCGACTGTTGTACCTTCTCCTTGCACGAAATAATATTTAAATTTGATTTAAATGCATTGTCAGCTTATCGAGTATGATAAGCATTGCAACGTGTACGATTAGCTCGCAAAAAAAGGCATATGTATTCACCTTAATTGTCTTTTTTTTTACTTTTACATCCATATACTTTTTGTTGCAAATTATTTCACAATTTTCAAAGTTGGTTAAAATTTGAGATAAATGTGATTCGCTATTACTTTGGCAAGGGTCAGTGTGCAATTTCATTTCGACATTGGAGTTGCATTATTTTACACAGATATATCTCATCCACGTCATCTTTATTTACGATAGTCGAGTTCAATAGCCACGTGGTATCGCGGAAGTCAAGGTCGGCTACGTCGTAATCTTTTTCCTGATCTTCGACAAGGATCATCCGTAATTCCTGATTCGGGAATTTAATCGGTTATTATCCAAATGTATGGTACAGGTCGTAACGATGTCATAAATTGAATCAAGCTATATTCTGTGATGTCCTTTCCGAAACTTTTTGCGGCGCACTCGTTTGTAATTTTTCAGTCATCGGGGTTTAAAATGAAAAAATTCCAGAATAAACATTCCATCTTATTTTTACTCTTGTGTTTCAGGACCTTGCGGCGGCAAAACGACTGGACAGACGCGGCTGTGTACGTTCTTTGAGAATATGGGTTGGAAGGTAGGCATTCCCAGCTTTGCTTATTCCAGTTTTGTATAAAAAAAGAGGAACCATTGCCCCTGCAAAAGAACGGTCTCGTGAGTTTTCTTTCTACGTGGCCATCTCTTGAATAAAAACACCCTTAACAGTTCCGAAAGAGGATGCACTGTGTCCTGAATGATACTTTTTCATTATTATTATTGTAAAGTCCGTTTTACTACGTCGCAAAGCTTTTATCTTAAATTCAAGTAACGACACTCGTATGAATCTCTACGTGAACCACGTTTTTATTTCTTTTCGAGTAATAAAGATTATCTTTTGTGCGAGTAACGAATGTCCCTGGTAGCGACGGCTGAACGCGAATAGTTACGTGGTTGTAGAAGAATCGAGGGGAAAAATTGTGAGAAAAAGTGCGAATTGGATATGAGAATTGGTTTTTTGGGTTGTCACCCTTCGATGTGGATTCGATAGAGCGCTGGTTGTCTTCTTTTTCAGGTGTTCCGTGTTCCCGAGACAGCGACTGTGCTGCTCAGGTATGCATTACACGATAAACAAATTTACAGAAACAGAGAAAGGAAGAGATATCAAAAAGAAAAAGGAAAGCTTTTTCTTTTGCTCAAAGTGATTCGATCGAAACATCGCGTCTTCTCAATATCCTGGAATAAGAATAGTCGAAAGATTTTTGTTGTTCTTTGATCTTGACAGGAAGCCCGATGATTCTCGTAACACTTTGATCTTTTCGTTCGTAAAGCTTTCGCCTTAATTTCTTCCATAAACGAGACACGGAAAATCATGTACTGATAGTAGACAATAATCTTGATTGTGTGTATAATCACGATTTAATTATGCGCGAAAGAAAACACGAGAGTATTTACGGTGCATCAACATCCTTTGTCATTGATCCAATGATCGTAAACTATTACGATTGTGGCAAACGATGATTCACCGACGGTAAAATCAATTAACCATGAGAATATTTTCTACGCAGTCACAAGAACAGTTATTCGACGTATACGCATTGTTCATTATGTAATATGTATCTTGTTCGAAGAATTGCTAGCGAATAGTGACACTAGCATGCTGATAGAAAGTCATTCGAGAATGATACTCGATCGAGTATTTCCCTATGTTTCAAACAAATATTTTGTCCTTTCTCACTAGAACCGAAGAATCATTTTTATATGTAAGGTATTTCATATAAACGACTCGTTTTAATTACGAATGAAAGATGCGAAAATAATGAAAAAAATTCCTGTAGAGATCGAAGCTTTTCGATAATTAATACTACTACAGGAGATCACCAAATATAGGAAATCGGCTGGTGCTTCAGATTTTATATAGCTGGAATTATTAGGAAGAAATCTACTTCAATCTTGACACGCGTTAAGCTTGGAATATTTCAAATTCAGGGTTTAGACTCGGCACTAAATTTAGAATATTTCAAACTTAAAATGCTTCGTACTTGGATCAAAGCTCAGAATGTCTAGAATTTTAAATTCGATACTGTTCAAAAATATCTGCAACCTTGATTCAATCGAAGCAAGAAATTATTTTTCAAATTCACAAAAAACTGATAATTTTTCATTATTTTCGTGTCTCTTATTGGTCGTTGAAACGAATTTCGCGTTATGAAACGACCTGTATATATAAAAAAGAATAGCAAAAGGATAGCTCACTATCTTTCTAGATTAGTTTCTCTTGCAGAGAAAAGCATATACGCTCCATTTAGTTTTTTTTTGGAGACTTCTCTGAATCTCTTTCCACCTCTCACGCTTTAATATTACCAACTGTTTCATCCCTCGTCTGCTTTTTCCATTTCAGTGGCGGCATAAAGTTTTCAGACCTGAACGCTGAAGAGGGTAAGTCCACTTGAACTTTTCATTTTGTATCGCTAGCTTTAAGCTTCTCACGATGCACGTTTGTTGCGAATTTGCGTGGGTGGTTCGATTTACTACATTTCCTCTACGGTTTTTGCCTATTGATGTAAAACGATGTCTGTGCATTCTTCTCTTGCGTCGCGACGTTCTACGGTATTCCAATTTCGCCAAACTACGTTTGTGGCGTCGGTAAAACCACCCGTAAAAAGACGTTCACGATACTTTTGCGAAATAAGAATAGTCGCAAAATCGCATCCTGATATTAGAACAGAGACGTTAAAATATAGTTTCAAGTTATAATTTTTTTAATTGAGAACATATAGAAGTATAGACATTTTTCATTAAAAAATTCCTCTGTGAATTTTCAACGCCGCTTGTCCATTACTGGGTCAAGCTATTACCCTATTCAAAGTGAATTCTCCTCAAGTGTACGAGTTTACAAACACGTCTAGATGCATTCTTTGCTTATAGTTAGAATCAATCGATGCAGTCAAAATACGACGTCATTCTAAGCACTACTTTAAGCCTAAGTAGTAAACATTACCCTTATCGTAATATATGAAGTAGTTGCTATCCGATAAATATCTTAATTGGCTTAATTTATATCCAGCTTTTTATCTTCGTTCGTAGTTGCGTACATACACATTTACACTGATAGTTTTTCACCCAGTAACAAAAGTGATTCAACGATTGTAATTCAAGTTTCTGGCATGTGAACTTGAAAGTATAGATACGTTTATCTTGCGCTTACATTAGCGAGTGACATAAGTTTCGCGAAAAAATACACGATAAATGTTAGAACGGTCGATCGATACGAGCACCTTGCGTGCCCTTTCCCTTACCTCAAGTATACTTGTCATTGCATATGCGTCGACTGTCATAACATCGACAGAATCTTCCATTTAATCCAAACAAAATTATGTTCCTTGACTAAACTTAAGGCTTACAGAAATTCGAATACTGATTTGAACAATTTTTTAATCAAAGCTACTATCAGTGAAATCTCACCCTGTAAGCAATAGTTTTATCATCATCATTGGCTTAAAATAAAAAATGATTGCATCGAGATCTACAACGATGAGAATTGCAACGATGTCAACGTCATTTGATACTTTTCTTTGAAAGTTAATTATTGATTTACGAATGGAAGGGTGGAAAGTACTATTAGACAAACATCATAAGTTGTATGCACGTGCAATGGGGTCGAATGGGTTCGAACCGACTTCGTAGATTTATTTAGGGAGAAATATGTGCTCGAGGATTATACTTGACTTAGGGTTGCATAAGGTCAAAATTGCGTTTGAACAAAAATGTTTAGGCATAAAAAGTAGTGGAGATATTAGGTGACGTTGATGTATGTCCTCCAAAAAAAAGGCATTTAGATACCTCACAGTTATCTCGACACAATAAGTATAAGTTAACTTCTATCATTAGTCTCATGATCAGTTGCTGATAAAATACAAAGTCATTCGATAAAATTAAATGTACGTTGCGCTAAAATTTCTGTATAACATTAAAATTTACTTAATAGTTATTTTATCTTTAAATGATTGGCTCTCACGTGTTTCAAGTTTGTACTAGTTTGATAAATTTCTTGTATCTTCTATCTTGCACGATAAAATGTTCATTTTTGTAGAACGCATTTTTTTTAAATGCAAATCTAAAACTTGTCAATTGCACAAGATTACATCACGTTTTAAAAAGTCGAGAAAACGCGTCGATGCCAGTTCGAACACCTTCGAATGCATTTAATGACGGAAACGCGAAAGACGTCAAACGAGAGAGAGGGAGTCATGCATTTAAGTACAATAACAATCTCCTCTGTGCAGTTGGTTGCGGGTGGGTTCAAGAAGAATGGCTAATGTAGTTAGTCTGTCGATTGCGTAAAATCGAAACCGGCAACTTGCCAAGATTCTTGGATAGCAACGAATCACGAGACAAGCGCATCGTGTGTTTTCGAACGATGAACGCTTTAGATGACACTCGGATCGTGTTGGACTATGAAGAAGAAAAAGAAAATATTCTATTGCTTCGAAAGTCTGCTAGCGATAAGAAAAACTACAAGATCTTTTTTTACGGACAGGGAGAATGTGGTCCGAGGCTTTTATGCAATAGCGTTTATGGAATAGTAAGACCTTCTTTTTATCCAAAAATACTCTGATAGATTGAACGTTTAATTATATGACATGTGACACCGCCAGAAGATACGGCGGTACAACGCGGCAAAAAATTTTAAACGATAATGGCGACTGCAACGTGCGACACAGTAATTTGAACGTTTAATAATAAAAAACTATACTCGAATCACCCAATTTTATGATGAAATATGGAAATTAACTGGCCGAATTTACATTCTGTATACTTTATAAGAAAAACGAATTCGGTAAAAGTATCGAATAAAAAAGTTGACACAAAATTTTCTGCAACTTTTGGTGTACCCTGTACTCGGTGACCTGCAAAAGGAAATTTATCAGCCGAATGAATAAACAACGATGTATGTTCGATTATCGTTTGCACGTTATGCTGCTCAAGAAAGCGTAAATACTTTATTCGTAGGTTTTTTCTATCATAGGTAGACCATATCGAATCCCTATAATTAATTTGCCTATTATTATTTCTCAAGGTGCTACTCGATCGTGATTATCCTCGATAGGTCAGCCAGAGCACCTTCTCACTTGGCTACTTCTTCACTGAATTAATCGTTCGTATCTAATAACATGGAAGCGAACGCTTTGCCATCAATTTCGCGTTGGTTTCGTATCATTTGCCTTGAAAAAATATTTCTATGCAAATAGACACCATGATCGCTATTATATCATCGTACTGACTTGCGAATTGTGGCTATTTTAACAAGGTTATATTACAAAAATTTTTTTCCCCCAATCAAATAGTGTGGTCATGAATTGTATGGATACGTGCATATTTCTTCTACTACACAGATATTTATTTTTTATTCGGCGTACGGTGATACCTGGAGTTTTATAATTTAGTTAACAGTTGTATCAATTAAAATTTTCGATAAAATATGCCATTATTACACCATGTGGTCATTTGTATTTATCTACATATTTTAAAAATAATTTTTGCAGAGATAACATACATTACTTACTTCAACGTTAACAAATTTTGAAATATGTATGGCGATACATGTAATTGTTTGATAACTTACGTATATCAGTTTTTTGTTAGAATAAAGAAATGTAAGTGTAGGGTCATTTTTCCATTTACCTTTAATTATGAAAATTAAATGCACGAATTTGAGGAGTTAGAAATTTGAATAATTCTAAGTTCGAAAGCCAACGAGCGACATCCAAGAGGCCACTTGCGCTCCCACTAGTTTTCTAATATATTTGCATAGATTTCGCGAGCAACCATGGATAATAATACACCGGTAAAATTATATAACTTAAAATTGAGATCAGAGTCGCGTTAAGAGGTTACACGAGGTAACACCTCTCTCGAAAAACACTCGTTCCGTTGTTACCACCCGTGTGTGCATGTTCGCAGAATGTTCGAGTTGTGAAATGTGTCGTTTTCGATATATTACCCGCGATATCTTGCCAGCTTCTCAGCGTTTCGAGACGAAATGGGAAATGCTTAACCAGTTTCACACTTTCCGAAGAATCCAACAGGTTGACATTAAAAGAATCGTTTAACCAGCGAACGGTTGCCAGAGATCAAACTGCAAATGCATTTTCCACGTCAGTTCCAACTGGAAAATTGAATCATGTTCAATAGCTCGGAATTTTCCTTGCATCGTGCGAAAATATCTTTCAACCGCGTCGAAAGAGACTCATAGTACGCTTACGTAAAGGTATTTGTCGGTTTAAATCCTATACCCTTGAAACACCGATATTAACCAGGCTTCGCAAGTAAATCCTCCTTTTGGCTTCTTTAACCAGAATATGAAGCGACGCGTACACGTCGATTTTCATCATCGCCGCAACCCTGCTATCGATACTAAAAGGCTGTTAATTTATCGGAAGACGCATTAGTCTTCCACTTTTTAATTGCATCGAAATACTTTGTTACGAGCGTGTTCTACTTAGGAAGTCCTACGATTCGCATTGAAGTCGAGGTGTACTCCACGTACATGGAAATGGTACAGTGACTCATGCATTTATTTACGGGAGAGTCGATTTTTTATTTACATAGATAGGACACATTAGTTGGCACTGTTTCGGTGATTGGCTCTTTTTTTCTTGTAAATTGTATCTATTTTTATCTTTTTGTTTATTATTTATAAGAGTATGACACCAACTACGTATAAATAAGCATGCCAATAATTAAAATAATTCGTGCGTTATTTAGTATTTGGTGCCAATAATTGAGGACTAGTATTCTTATACAAATTTATTTTATGGAAAATAATTTCAAAATGATCCTAAAGACTATTATTCACCAAAAAGATAAACCTTCAATTTTTGAATACCTGTAAAATTTTCTACAAATCCAAATTAGGTATTACTGGTTTGACATATTGTCTTGCAATATCGACCGGTATTAATTACTGCACGAGAGCCCTGAACATCCTATTTATTCTAATAGTTCATATCTCTCCCGCGTGTTCGAGTAAATGAAGTTTCACGTAATCATAAGATATAGCTAATAAAATCGTTCATTTGTTAATGTAGGTCATCGATAATAAGGTTCTATATATTTTGAACGTAACCGGAAACGTAGCCTAATAAGTTCGTTATATCGAGCGCTGGTTATTAATAAATTCATATTCGATGCATCCGCGCTCAATTGTCGCTCTCTATCGAGATCATACATACCACACCCTCGTGTGTTCTTTGGTCACTTGCCAATTTGGTTTTATCGTGTCTTAGAAATTGTTACAAGATTCCCAGTTTATATTTCAAGGAAGGGATAAACGTTCAAAGACGTCAAAACGGTATATTAATCGCTAACGTAATTAGAATTTGTGCTTATGGAATTCGATATCCCGTGAGACTCGTAGGAAGAAAGAACTTAATACTCGCAACAAAATTTTAATTTGGCTAGTCTCATTTTCAATTGTTTAATTAAAAAAGAAATCCATTTTCGTGGTCGAATAAAAGTGAGACAGAACGGTATGCGGGATTCACGGTTGGATTTTCTCTGTGTATTTTCGAGCCAAATACCACGGTGGTTGAAAGCTGGCGTGGAAATGAAATTGTTTCAGAGAGGTGCGGTGGAAGCTTTGGTGAAGGTGTCAGGTTTGCTAGGATGATTAAACGAGTGCTCGCTAGGGGAAATGATGAAAAGTGTCACGCTGAAACGGAGTTTACCTGGGCATGAATTTTTTTTCTATGTGACACGCACGAAGAGTAATTTAGTCATCAAAGAACCCTGCTGTTCATTCATCGATCAGTTTTCGCCACTTTGCACGTGATTGAATCTCTTGATGTTTTATTATTTTTTTTTATATGCACGAGAGTACGGCACTTTTAAAACGCGAAGATTCTGGAGCTTTTTATTCTTCGATTAGAATTTTACGAAGTATTTTATCTACTTTACAAAGATCGGAAAGATCAATTCGCGCTGAAAGCGTAGATAATTAGCAAGGAATAAAACATTGAATATGTAAATATAACAGCAGAAAAAGTGATATGCAATTAGAATAACTGCGCACAATTCCGTATCCGGTGCGATAGGATTTTTATTTCATTTTTCTTTTTTTGTTAACCAGTTTAGTGGTGCAATACGATTCCTCGAAGGTCGAGCTGCACCCAATAACGACCAGGCATTAATTAACAAGTCATCCAGTTCTGACAGGATACGGTGGGTTTGGATCAACTCTACAGGTCGAATCAATTTACTTGATCAACAAAAGCGTATGTTGACGCATGAAATGAACAGTGCATAATATAATCCATTACGTACATTTTCGTTCTCTGTTTGCCTTGCAGTAAAAGGAATTACATAAATCATTAACTAGTTAGTGGAGTTGAAGTCTTTATTGACTCAAAATTTCATTTCTATACCAGCGATGAACGATCATTTTCAAACTCCAAGTCCCAAATTTTTCAAGTAGCAAAAATTTACGACGCTTAAAAAAAATTATGATACAAATAGAATTAGCCTGTAATCTCGTTCGAGAACACTGGATAATGCGTTGAATTTCGCACGCCTCCTACAAAGCTGTAAGAGGAGCTGTTCCTTTGGTCACTGAAAAACGATCCCACGGGTTGCTGCATCCTTTATTCTTTTTCCTCGCAGACGGCAATAGGATCCACACTCGCACGACAGTTCCACTTCTGAAGCTTTTTGCTGAGACCACATGTCTGATGACGTAGCAGTTCGCGTATGTCACTATGGTCAGATAAAATCCTCTTCTTTAACCCTCGTCGCGATTTGCGCTGACTCGCGAAGTCAGAGTTTGACCTCGATTAAAAGCAAAAAAGTTCTGTCTCGTTGTCTTCGATCAATCGATCCATTGGGGTTCGTTGAAAGTTTAATGGTAGGCTATATGAAGTTTGGGCTAAACGGTTGGTCATCCTCTATTGTCTTTGATGATCACGTATTTCACGGGTTCTTTCACCCTTCTAATTTTATACTTGTATTAACTTGTATTGTATTAACTTTATGGATTTATTTAGGATGTGGATGCAAGTATAGTTCATTGAAAATAGTGCCAGAGTATTTTTGACTCTAATACTTAGTGTTTCATCACTTGTATTTCATTTATACTTCATATCAGTCCATTGTAATTTGAAACTTTGGAACTAGTCAAACGCAGTAGACTTTGTTTAGGTATTGAAAGTAATATTACAAAAATCAGGTAGATATGTAACCCTGGTTGTAAGTTAAAAACAAAGCTATCAGAATTGTTGAAACGTAGAAATACGGGAGTAGCCCCGCAACCGTCAGGGTTCGAATGAAAGAAAGCAATTGCAAGGGAAATCGATACCATGGGTTTTCGAATCACGCAGACAGGCGACCTCGCGTGCAGAATGCTAAACAATTTTGGTAGCAAATAATAGGACGGGAACAGGAATGGAACGAAGGGATGGGAAGCCGTCGATAACAGCGGTGATTCGTTATGAAAACCATTCGGTTAAAGGGAAACTCGCTTGAAGGGGGGAAGAGCTGGTTTATCGAACTGAAAGTATCTTCAAGGTCGGTTGGTTCTAGCAAAGGGATCCGTGTCGCGACCTTCGATTACGAAGTCGTCACAGAGACGTTACAGGAACAGGTCCGACAAAGGGGAAGCGAGGTGGCCAGAAATCTTGGAGGTTGACTCCAGCGAGGGTGAGTCTTAAAGTCTCTCGCTTCGAAGGCGATGTACACCATGGATTCGTAATTCGTCATGAAAGATGATGATACAGGACTGGAACACTATTTTTAACGGTTACCAGTTTCCGCTTTTTGTAAGACGAATTACATCCTACGGTGTATATGGACGAAGGTTCTCTTCTTGAAACCAAAGAAAAACCACGGCCAGGAATTACACGCTACGTCCACGAAGCAACTCGAACTTTTTCCCTCTTTTCTCCTTCTTCTACCATCCCTCCGTGTTGTTTTATGAAGTTGTACAGACAACAGATATATCTATTTTAACAAGAAGTCGTAATTTCTGAGCGTGGTTTGTCATTGTCGAAAAGAAAGAGGACCTTTTGCCTTGCTAGAGCAATTCAGGTCGATCCTTGCTGATAGAAAGCCATCCTGGACAATTGAATCGAGCCATGCTGCACTTGGTAAATTAGGTACGAGCATTTTTGTATTTTGTGTACTGAAGCTGCTAAATCTTCTCTACGTAGCGCTCCTTTATGAGTATGAGATTTTTGAACGATGAATCTATTTATCAGGTATCCTGATCTAAGGAGACATTCTCGTTTAGTCAATTGTACCTGCTAGAGCTTCTGTAATAGAGGAGTAATCATTTGTCGATAGGATTTATCACAGATATCCTAATCTCAGGAAGCAGACTGTCGATACGTACCTCTCTCATAGCTCGTATCTTTTAGTTATCTTTGCTTCTATATTCTACCAGTTGTTGAATTAACCAGTTATTGAGTTGTTGACTCGTTCCGGAGTATGTATATGTATGTACGCTAGATGTATTCGATTCCTAAAGAGTTCGCTAATGAATCAGAAAAAATTAATCGCATGTCATATCATGTGATCATATTCAGTATTTATCGACCTAAAAAACGTTCGGAGAATAAGCATTGATCATTGGACGATTACGGATAAAAAACCATTCAGGTTAATAAAAATGTAAAACGATATTTCAGTTATGGACGATTATCGTACTTCGTCGAGGTCTCCAGACGACCGTTTCGTTAATTGGATTTTTTCGCCGATGCGATAAAAGGGACGTATTAACGGCAAGCGCATGGTTGTTACGAGTCGTTAAATCCGTCTGCAACGACATGACTATCTCTCGCGAATGAGCAACTATGTAATATCGGCGATATCAAAATATGCGATACAATGCACAAACATCAATGAAATAACTCCTGTGTACATTACCGATCAAAAGTCTAAAGCTACTTGATTCATGTTTGCACTTCTTTTATCTTAATTAGCAACCTAACTCAAACCTACTGCCAATCTAACCGTAATCAACACAGCATTATGTAAAATATTAACATACGAGTTCGGATTTTACGATCACATCAGGTATAATTAGAAGATCTGGGGGATACAAGAGCGTAAGAATATAGAGATTTAAGAGATCTAGAAGTTTAAATACAGATATAGAAATTTAGCACAAGCTGGTGACGCAGCAGTAAACAAGCGTTTATCACCCTTCTGTTATTTTCCTTTATCACTAATCTACGGGGATTTTTTCTTATTCGATATCGCGTTAGTGTACTACACTAATCGATTAAAACACCTTAAATAAATAGTTTCGAGTATCAGACATTTCGAGTAATCACGTTACCGATAGTAATTACATCGATGCACTGATTGCACTCGACGTAAATTGCTTTTCCAACGATCGCACATTGATCAACGATATTGTACATTTTGATTGTTCTTGAAAAGCTAAGATATCGCGATTCACTTTTCCTCGATCGTGGTCAAGTATCGATCCAAGTATTTACATTGATTCATTCAGTTTCTATACTGTACTCAACATTTTTCTTGGAACGCAACTTGCAAATTGCTCTGTGAACACGTTGGTTCTCACAAATCTTATTCTCGTATATCATACGTGATCGTTATTGCTTATCAGTGCGTCACATATTAATAAATGTATGACTAATTAATTAATTTCCTCTGTTGCTACATATGTCATTGTAAATTCAAAAGAAATTTACATAGTTCACTCCGTAGTTTCTCGTGTTTAGTGGTTGATCCTTGTAACAAAGCAGTCAATTGATATAGTCTTCGTGAGAAGACTATAATATGTTAATGTTCTGTTTCAGCATTCAAATTTCAAGAGAACCTTCTTCGCACGATGATACAAATAGAGAATACGTTTTTCCAATTGGGTGAGAGCTGCTCGCGAAATTGCCTTATAATCTGTGATCGTGGCGCTATGGATGCCTCTGCATGTAAGCTATTTTTTAAATAAGATTGTTACATTATTTGATATGCAACAAAGTAAGAATAACCATGTTCGTCGATCCTCAGTTATTTCAAAGGACAAATGGGAACTGATGATGGCATCGAACGGTTGGAACAACGTTGAGCTGCGAGACAACAGATATAACCAGATCATCCACATGGTGTCGGCAGCCAACGGTGCCGAGGAATTTTATTCGACCGAAGAGCACGCGTGCCGATCAGAAGGTGTAGAGTTGGCCAGAGAGCTCGATTACAAAGCAGCCGCAGCCTGGGTCGGTCATCCTTACTTCGACGTAATCGACAACTCACAGGACTTCGAGTCGAAAATTTGCCGTATGATCGAATGCGTGTGCCAGAAACTGGGCATCGACATCGGAGACAGATTACGATCCAGCAGCCGAAAAGTCAAGTTCCTTGTCAAAGGTCCTCTACCTTCGGACAGCGAGTTTCCACCGTTTCAAGACTTCGATGTCGTCCATAACTACCTCCAAAGTAACAATCCGAAGATGCAAGCTCGTCTCCGCAAACGCGGTCAAAAAGGTCCGTCTTGCAAGCTTCGCTGTTCGAATTTAATTGTTCCACTTCCAAATCCGATGCGCTAAATTAATCATTAGAAGACGAGAAGCCTATTTTTAGGCTCCACGAGGCTCTGTTATTTTTCCTAATACAATGCCATGTAGTTAATTTAATTTATTGATATTCCGCTTGCAGGTCATTGGTCCTATATCCACACGATTCGGCGTCCGAAGATGTGCGGGCAAGTGATCGAAGTTAAGACCCAGTTAACCCATCGTGATTATTTGAACATGCTTGCTCAACGCGACGACTCGCATTTCACGATCTTCAAACGTCGACGTTGTTTCCTTATCAACAATCAGTATTTTCAGTTAGACATATACAGAGAACCAGCTCATCCAAGGTAAAGATTAAAACAACTTCATAAGCGTTATGCATAGAAAAAGATCTTTATTAAAATGTTGTGACAAACAACGAGTTAAGGATGTAATTGTTTATAGGTGCCGTGGATTGATGTTGCTTGAAACGTACACAGCATTAACCGGAGACGAGCTCAAGAATATACTACCACAGTTCCTGACAATCGAGAAAGAAGTCACTGGCAATCCGGACTACAGCATGTTCAATCTGAGTCTACGAGAAGAATGGAACAATACCAATAAATACTGCCATAATTTACACGGTACGTATATTCATTTTTGTATTATTAAGCGAAGATACCCGTGTTATTTTATGATGACAGAAGTGACACAAAGCAGGTATCAGTGATGGGCAATTATTTTCCGAAGTTCCAAAATTTCAAACTGACAAAGTTAAAAAATTCGAAAGTCTCTAAAAATCCGAAATTCCGAAATTCCAATAATCCTAAACTTCCAAACTTTTCTGGGCTCATGCGCACTCATGCCTATGATCCCTTTGATGACCACTTAATCTACCCATCACTGGCATAGATTAATCGTTTCATACACAAATACTTTCGTATACATATAGGCAATCTTTCGTTTGATCAGTCTGTTTTGAATTGCACAGATTACGCTCTTGCAGGCTTGACGGAATCTGGATCTGCAGAAAATAAAAATATTAATACTTCAGAAGCGAGAGGTACATCGGCTAAAAAACATGTAAACGGGGCAAGTAACGGGGTTGAGTCTAGAATTAATGGTGTAAACGTAACTGTAAATGGTGTAGATAAAGTTGTGAATGGCATACAAAATGGTGTCCACGGTGTTGCGAATGGTAACGCGAAATTCGTTGAGAGAAACAGCATCAAAAGCAATAGCCAAGTACGCGAGAATCCTACGAAAACGTTGAACGATAGTTCATAAGAAAATAAGCGGCAAAAGAATGTAAGAAAAATACGGAGAAAGATTTTGAAACGATGTAAAAACACGATGATGAAAGTTCAGCAATGATAAGAGACAAATTAATTGAAGCAATTCCAAACACTACAAGATGAAGTATTCTATTGGCACTGACAACTCGATCTGAGAAAAAAAAAAAACTTTTTTTAGGCAATACGAAGAATGATAAAGTTCTAAACACTTCGATACATATTTTCTAATTGACCTTGTATGTGCACATCTGGAACTATTTGATGCGAAATGTACTTAATATAATTCGACTGTAACTTATTTTTTACCGATCCGTTAAACGAGTACTATTGATTAATATATACCGGGTATTTTTACATCTAACTCGCATCACTTCACTTTTCATCTCCTCTTTACTTCATTATGTATCTTAACGGTAGAGTATTGTCGTCGTAATATTTTATTTAAGGCAACTACTATAAATGATTGTGATACAAAATACAACGTGTAGCACATAGCAAAGTACGTTATTCAGCTATGTAATTATTCAAGAACATACGATCAGTGTGAAGTATACTTTACCTTTAGAAAAATGTTTAATATTGTCTCGATAGAAAATTAATATTCTGCACTAAAGTGAAACAGAGATTTCAATTCATCAATTTTTGCCGTAGAAGACGAAAAGCTTTTGTCCTTGTATCGTAGATTTAATTACAGTTTTTGCAGGTGTATTATTTATTAGTGGTACCGTGTAAAATGTTGAGATAAATCTAATGTTTTATCTTTTAATAATAATAATAATAATGGTCGGGTAATTAAAGAAAAGAGAAAAGTATGGTTCAATGATTGTACTGTTCCACAGTATTGTCAGAATTGTGTATTACATAGTCATGACGAACTAATTGTCGTACACGATATAGTACTTAACAGGTGTTTCCATAAAGGTTTCAGTCCGTACAAGACAAAGTCTTTTAATTTATTGGAAATACCGTTGGTATTAAACAAAGAGATCGATTAATGAATTGCAATCTTAAATAGAAATGTTTTGAAGTAAATTAATTATTGAGTAATTATTATTATTATTTAATTTATAAATGAAAATTATTTCGTCATTGATCATAACTTAATGAACGTAAACTGTGATGATTATATACATGTTTATTTTACATAAAAAACATTTATCACAAATATTATAATTGTTTAGAGACAAAGTGCCTGTGAGATGTTCAGTCGCGGAAGTGAAAAGAATGATATATAAAATATATATTTTCAATGAAAGATGCAATAATCAACTATCGATGCACTTAAACCACGTATAATTGATCTGAACTCATATTGTACTCATGATTATCTAATAAAATGTCATGTGCCTATCATTTTTTGTCCATTTAATACCTGTCCATTATTTTTTTGATTAATCGATAATATATTAAATAATTCTTCACTGTCATTTTGATTTCAGATTAAGGCTTATACACGTTTTCATATGGTATGGATAGAAGAAGAATATAAACCGATTACTTATTGATCGTTTCGATTTACTACTATTTTGCCAAAGATACTGTTTCACATGTTCCTTTCTACATGAAATTGAAACGAAGACTTACAATTACAACTTTTTAATTTTAAAATAGTTTTTAATACTGTAATATAATTCCTTTGTATACAAAATTCATACATTATTTTCAGGGTATTGAAAAATTTTAAATAGTATTTCTTTATAATTTAATGAAATAGTGTGTTTACAAAAGGTATATATATGTTACATATGAAATTAAAAAAGCGTTTTACTAATAAAAGTACTTAAGTAATTAGATCACATAAAAAGGAAGATACATGGTATTATATTAATAAAAGTAAACCTGCCTAACAAATATTTCCTTCTATGTGGAATCAAGTAAGTTGTGTTTCATATGTATAACATTATGTAAAAAGATATAATGCATAGTGGAAGCTTAGTTGTTATTTTTGGTATACCATGTTACATGTTATTTTTAGTATCTAATTTAGATACTAAGCAGCTTTATCAAGAAGAAATGTTAACAACATTGTACAAGAAGATACATAAATCTTTTTTATATAATAGTACTTTTATGTAAGTGATAATTTTTACTTTGTACATTAAACAACATCTAAAAATCTTTATTAAAGCTGTAGCGATACTTATAAGATTTAAATACAGTATTACTTCTATGCTTAAATACATTAGAATTCTGATACAGAAAACTTTCAAATAGCTATCTCTTTTCGGTAAAGAAAAAAAGAAAGAAATATAGGTACTGAAATTGTTTGACAAGTAGTAAGAAGACTACTTCAATTACTGTAGATTATAGATAAACTAGAAGCATTAAATATGTATAAATAGAAATATTTATAAAATTGTTTGCATGCAAAACATAATGAATTATGATTCATGTATGCAGGTCCCTGGAAGTATTAATTATACAAGTAAACTCTAATTATTATATACATAACAAACAATTTTCTATAAATATTGAGTAGTATTTAAATAATTCTTAAACTGTCAATTGATTCTGAAATATGTATGATATAAATGTGTCATAAGTGTATTTTTTGCTGGAAGCATGTATTTGTTTCGTGTATTTTTTTTCTTAAACTTTTTGTTGGTACACGACGAAGCAATCAGTGTTTTATACTATTCTTTCGTTCAGAAAGCAATTTATGCTTTCTGATCCTTGTGGAAGTTCACAGATTCAATGAATCATAAAAGTTAAAAATCATATATCCTTTTCCTTCGAACAGCTAGTCATATGTTAGTATTAGCATTTATCTACTAATGGCTTTAGCTTGTTGCGCTTTGTACATTTTTAAGACTTTTTTACTGGGTATTAAAGACTGACTTAATCCTGGCCTTTTTTTACGTTTATTCATTTGATTATTTTCTTGATCCACCTCATCATCATCATTCATGGAAACTTGACCATTATATTGGGTCTGACAAATAACTGTTTCTTGTGGTATACGAATTGCTTCTAGTTCAGCTGCTGTTCGGTGTAAATCTGAATCGTGTGCGAAAGTACAGTTATGACCAAACCGGCATCTACCTTTTCTATAATTCCAACAAATCTTTCGACCATTAATCATTTTTGTATCATCTAGAGTCGGTGTCATTTTCACGTGTTTCTCAAGAATAGCACTCTTTGCCTTTTCTGCTTCGACAAATGGATTTGAGAAGACTGAGGTTTTCATAACAGGTATACTATTAAAATCTGGAGTTGGTAATGGAAGTTTCTCTTTGGAAGCTGCTGTATTTGGTGCTCCTTCGTTCTCATTAGTTTTATCCTCTTCATTATCCTCTTCTCCATCTTCCTTAAAACTAAGGGTTAGGCAATATCAGATTACAAAGAACAAGTTCAATCTTACGTATAAGTACCAACCTTGACTTAGTATATTCATGCTAATTTAAAGGTAAAAAATTGCAGTACTATAATATTCTAATGATATATTTTATTAAACAAGCGGTAATTGAATTAAGATCACATACAATGCTACATATTTTATTCATTGTTTAATTAGTAAATAAGAGTTTTATATATAAAAATAAAACTACTGAAACATAAAAGTTAACAGAATGTATACTCTCGAACAGTATAAACGTATCCTGTACGATTTTCGTTTTGTAAATACACGTGCGGATGCACCAAATGATTTGTTGCATAAATATGCATATTAATACAATTAGAGTGGTAGGAGCATATTAATAATCGCAGTTTATTATGAAAATTAACATTTACGTAATTATAAGGTGTTTAACGAAGGGGAACAACAAACAACGCGAAACATGCTCATATTGGTGAAAGCTTACGTGTTATCAGCATTATCTGAGACATCGTCACTACTACTGTCCGAACTTGAGGAAGTTCCATAATCCGCAACCAAGGAAGCCATTGTTCTTACCAATTAATTAACAATATACTCTAACAACCACTAATCTAATATAACCATTATAAATTGTTATGTTACTGTCTACATGAAGACAATGTGGCAACGCCGCGAAACGAACGTCACCGGAAATTACCGTCGACGCTGTTGTTTTTTTGAAATTAGCGGCAAAAACAAATTTTTTTATGTAAATACAGAGGTAAACTTAAATAAATCTATTTTTAGATTTTTTGAATACTAAATTAAAGTTACATGATTTTTCAACAACTTAAAATCTTATTAAATGATTATTTTTTAAATTAAAAAAATATTTATACAAGTGCTTATACAAAATATACTTTGAACTCTAGGTAACAATGAAAATACCTCTATACAATGTACAAAATACAAATTTCAAGAACATGAAATGCCACAATCATTTATGCTTAAAGTGCATGCTACATTTGGTGCTAATTGAAAGCTTTTCCATACTGAAATTTTTCTACTTTCAATTCCAATTTTCTCCATTAATAGTCTTGTATTAGGAACATGTGACCAATACTTTCCTAATGCTGGAGTCACTTCATTATAATTTTCACTTCTATTTGTATTGGTTGATCCTTCCGCATTAGTATTCCATTGAGTAACCAAGTTAACGGTAACAATAGATAATTGAAATTCATTAGCAATAAAATGACACATATTTGCTATGTGATTCAATGCAACTGTTGTTTCATGACTTTGAGAAAATTTAAAAATTATTGCTGGCAATGAATCAATGATTATAATTCTTGTACGATACTCTGCTTTTTCTTCTTTTAAAGAAACTGTTAACAAACGTAAAATTTTAAACAATTGGTCTAACTTGTATATACAGCATACTTTAATACGGTTCATAACTTCATCAATAACCTAAAGTAAAAATAAACAATTATATAAAACAATTTCTTAATTATTCAGCTGCACAATTTTATAAAAATACCTGTTTATTATAATTTTTTTTAAATAATATTTGTTCTATTCTTGAGCCAGAAAAATCCCTCTTTGTATCAATGTACCGTACAATATTTTTAGACTCAAGAGCAACATTATTTGCTATTGTTAAACATAATTGAGTTTTTCCACTTGAGGATGCACCGCATATTTCATATATCTGACCAGGATATAATCCACCTTTTAATATATCATCTAAACTGATCAAATGAATTAATGATTAATTTTATAAGTAGCTCCTCATTAAGTGTTTTTTAATTATATACCTTAATAAATTAGTAGGAATTATATTGTTCTGTTCAATTTTAAATAGATCAGAGGCACTTTTCATTATACCTCCATATTTTTGCATAATATTTCGCTTGATTTCAAGTATGTCCTGCAAATTTAACCTTAAAATTAACATTTTATTGAATGATTCATATACCGTAAAGTGTTCTTCCAAAATATCTCTTTCAATGTTAAAATACATAATTCAAACTTGTATTTATACCTTGAGCGGAAGTCCTGTACAAGTTACCAATTTTTCATTATCTTTACTTATAAATTGTATAACAGTACAAATACGTTTGCTTTGTAATTGTTGTATAATAGAAGTTGATAATTTCGAATCTACATTTGAACTTAATTCAGTCATATTTAAGATTACAACTGCTTCAACCAGTACTTACAAATTATGCGTATTAAACAATTTTTTAAATATAATTTCAATTATTTTTGTGCTCATTATCTTTAAAATTGATCAAGTATAAAACTAAAACAATACAAACTTCCGGAAAGTTGTAATTAAAATGAATTTTCAATTTTGTTTTATTATGTACCGAATCAGTATAGAAAATATAATTTGATTTTAATACATAGATACAAAATTGTACAATTATCGTAACAATAGACCAATTAAATATTTATCATTCGTTATTTATTTTACTATAAAATTCAAATTATTATCGCGCATACTACGTAGATCAATGTAAATGTAATAGTGGAACCCAAAAGATGATACGCTGAGTACCGAAATGACCTCGGCGTCGTTCTTACGATTGTACGTATCACACGCGGGTACTTCGTTAAGTATAGAACAATCCAGTAGAATTAGAACAACGTGTTATAGATCCGAGTACATTAATTTTCACTTCTTAGTTAACTATTTATTTGCTATTCATTGTACACTTGATTATGATTCTTTCTGTGAAAAATTGTCGAGATTTTGTTATTACGTTTAAAAATGTGTTTAGCATACGTTGCCTCGTGAGAAGTCTTCGCGCATGTGTTCGGCACCTGGATGCTTGTTCCTTCGAATTTGGTTAGAAAATATACGTATAAATTTAGACAAAAACTGCCAAATAAAGGTCACCTAAAAAGTAAGTAAAACAAACTTCTATTTCTTTTATACATTTTACACATTTTCATGCTATAAATGATAAGACCACGTAATGGTCGCAAGTTAGCACGTGGCGAGGTTTCGTACAAACTCGACAACCATGTTGCGCTAACTATGAAATTTGTTTCACATTGAAACATAATTTTATTTTTTCACTAAATTTATTATAAACAATAATTTTAAGTTGCACGCATATAAGAATTTGTGAAGGATAAGATGTAATTATGGATTTCTGATACTGAACTTTCTACAGTGATAATTTTGTTTCACCAGTAGTAAATTAAATAAGTATAAAATGTTATCTTTAATATACATTATCTGAGAAACGTATATTTCACTTTGCAAATTGAAAAGTAAATGTTGAAGAAAATATGTATAAAGTTAGGTGATATCATTTTGTTTGCTTTATAAACTGTATCGAGACATTTGTGCAAGTATTTACATGAAATTCTAAGAATGTAAAAGTGATGTAATATCGTTCGCAAGGTATGCCCATATTTGTCCGATTCGTACATAACTTTCAAGAAAAAACAGTAATCATTTAGTATTCAGAAGTGATTGCAGTTCTTTTGGCTCAGGTTTTGTAAAAAACACCTACTTTACGATTGATGCTCATAAAGTTTTCTTTAAAGCATATAAATCCAATTGCTTTTCTAGTTTTTACAAAATTTAAACTGATAAGTTGAATAAATCCTATAAACTGTACGCATTATTTATTAATAATTTTAATAGATGCAATACTGTCGAACACGATAAATTTTGTAGAATGTATGTTTTGGATCAAAAAATAATAGTTGCTGATTTGATTCGTTAGTCGGAAAACGAGTCCTTTTAATATTTTTACCAGTAACCAATCAGGAACATTTGATACTGCCACGTTGCCAAGTATCCGGTTGTGTCCAACCAATCGCAGATGCAGCATTTAGTTGGAGCGGCATCTCTCTGTGGCTTGTGTAAACGTGAAGCAGCGAGCAGCTCTCGGTCTGGTCGCGGTCGAAATTTGTCGGGAGCCGTCGCCATGTTTAGAAGTGTGTGCGTCCTTGAGCGAGTCGAGAGAAAATGTTCTGTAAAATATTAGATATAGCTCATGCACTATACATTACGTGAGGTACCTAATTACAATTTAATGCTCGTCGATCACGGGTGTAACAATTATTTTCGTGGATGGCTCACCTACGTTGCAGAATTTTGTGATTACATTATGGTAAGTCCGCCCTCCTATCAGACCAACGCCAACATGGCGGACGAAAAATTTCCTTTGTATCGCCGCGAGGCTCCACTGACGCAATTCTGAAAAATATTTTTTTTTTACGGAACTGTACGGTTTATAAGATTAAAAAACTTATTTTTATTATCGAAAACCTCAGCTAATAGATTGGCATTACGGTTATCGTTATTGTTTAAAGATAAATTAATATTTTTCTAATAAGAAAACTTGAACGCCCTGAATGCCTGATATCGGACGTTCGAGTATTCGTTACAATCTTTTGTTATTCTAAATGACATCGCTTATTTTACCATTTAGTTGATCGTGGACAGGTTCTTGTTGTTCATAGTGTTGAATTTCGATGGTATTTTCTCTTCTGCGCACTACGCATGTTTTACAAATTCCAATGTGGTGTATCAGTTGGATCAACGGAGAAATTTTGATTTCGGCGCTTTTTTCACAAATCAATTAACATTCTCATTTTGACTTACTGGAATTATTTTACTTGAAAGAAGGCTGAACTGTATATATTTACCTGAAATTCAATGTTAAATTGTTTACATATTTTCAATAATTGTAAAATAAAATATTGTTAGTAATCAGTAAAGTTGTAGTTTGTTGTTTCTTGTACATGTCTTCTTTTTAAATTCATTCATCTAAACATTTGTTTTTTTTTATTCTAAAGTTAACACATCAAATAGCTTTTAATATAAATTTGTGTGATTGATAAATTAATTTGTTACTTTTATTTATATTTTTCGGTATTTGATTTATTCATATATTTAAATAATTTAAACATGAAAATATTGCATAAATGTTTAAAAAATATAGATAATAAATATATGATAATATCTTATAATATCTGTTTACTTGTTATATGTGTTTACCAAGATAATTAAAAAAAAAACATGAGATTTATTTGCAACATAAATGTTTGTATGCATCTTCTCACTGTTGTACAAATCATTATTTATGTGCAATATAATTATAATAAATAAGATTAAATAATGTAATATGTAACATTTTTTTTATATCTATCAAACAAATTGCAAGGAAACATCTAAATCTTTTTTTTACATAGTGCGCTTGATGCATAGATCTATTATACATGTTATAAACAGTCTTTCTTTCAAAGACACTTATTAAACAGTTTTGTATTCGATTTTTCAGTGTAATGTGTAATGAGTGATAAGCAGACTGCACCTATTTTGCCGCCCCTTAATGGGGGTGGAGGAAATAATGGGGGAAGCAATGGAGGTGCACCTCAGCAAGTTAATTTGCAACAAGTTCTTGCTACTGCTCAAGGGCTTAATGTCCTCACCACTGGTTCTGGACAGCAATTTGTTATTACTTCACAAGTTCCTGGTATTACACAGGTATTTATCTATTTATTCGGAGTAACTTAAGTCTAGTGAAATTTATTCATGGTACATCCGTATTTATCATTTGTATGTTTTCTACGATTACAGGTTATATCAAGTAATGCAACAACTAATTCAAATATTCAACAAGTTGGTGTTACACGCATTGTCAATATTAGTGGCACATCCCCACGTGCTAGTACCATGGGAGTTGCAGGGGCAAGCAGTTCGTCTCTGCCATCTCCCACTCGCCAGAATTCACCTAAAGTTGTTTTAGCAACATCTCCAAAACTTGTACGAACTTCTATTGGAAATATGTTTGTTGCACCAACTTCTCAAGCTTCTATGCAATCACCGCCTGCAAGAAAAAAGTTGAAGTTGACAGATTCTACTGAAAAACCTACCATGATTGCTGATGATGCAATGGGTTATCGAAGAAGAATAATGGAACACAAAATGAAAAGGATGCGTGCAATAAGGGAAAAATATGCTGAAAATGCATCAGAGTTATTCTTTCTCCATGCTGGAGGCAATATGATGGATTTTCAAACATGGAGGAAGAGACCTCCGACTCCTCAATATCTGCATTTTTTACGACAACATAGATTAGACCCAGATGATGATGATGAAGATTTAACAGTGCCACTGCCAGCAGTATCAGAAATTCCACTAACACCAGCTGTGACAACAACTGTTTCTACAATAGTTCCTGTTAATCAGTGTACAGAAGTAAAAATCTCTGGTATGAGTGTTGCCCCTGTTGCAGTATCTACTACATTACCTGCCGCAGTAGCCCAACTTAATCAACAAGGTAAGCAAGTTGTTGATATTTGTTTGTTTGTGATTAATTTGATGGGGTAAATTATATTATCTTACCTCAGAGTTTCCTAATAAAACCATGTTTATACCATTTTGTATTTGCTACTAATAATTTTTCCTGAAATGACAAGAGGCACACCATTTCTATTTTGATGAGAAACTGTAAAATATATCAAAGTTCGTTGCAAAAATACGGATTTTGATATATTACTTGTAGGTAACTGCAAATGACATAAGCTTTATTCTTCGAGATTTTGATAGATACATGTTTGAAAATATGGTGATATAATTAACAATTTTAGTATACAGTTTATATCATCCAAATAATTACTTTGCATAATAGGACATGTACCAGGCAGGCCTCAAGGGGGCCGCCATGGCATGGTGTTTGCCTTCAGAGCAGCAATTCAATCTTCACCAGTCACCGCTCACCCTCCACCTACTTCTACTCTAGCACCCACGCTCATTATAGGTGATTACTGCAGGCTTATCATTTGATGTTTAGATTCCTTACCTTTTGTTTCTGACTAGATTTTGTGAAAATGTACTTATTCTATTGTACTTGGGTACAGCTCTTTATTTAATGCATTGTGCGTGTTGGATTAAGTTGAGAAATGATTAAGCTTGAATAAGTACGAACATTTAATATAAAAATACAGTTTCCTTTAATTGAGTAATTATATATGTTTTGCACCGTCTTTAAAGACATCTAGTATAGGTTGAACTGAATAAATAATTTAATGTGGTGGCCACTTTTAATAATCAGGGATGCATGTAATTTTGTACATATTGGAAACAGTCATATTTATTTTAGTAATTGATGATCAGCACTTTATTCTGTTGTAATCATATAACCCCTAATTCATTCTCACAATGATTATACCTCTAATAAATTCGTTGCGTGTTATACGTTACATCTGTTTTTATGTATCACATTATATCTTATTTTAATATAGTGGAATATTTGCTTATTCCATCCCACAAAACGACGGTCGATTCAAACTTACATGTTTGAAACGATCCACTCTTTGTGGGAATATAAACTCAGAGCATATGTAAGGTTGTTAAGTGATTAGCTTTGCAACCTAAGGGCGCTGTTGATACATATGTATACTCGACTTGTTAGAAATTTTGCTTAAAAATATCCGAGTATGTATTAAATCATTGTTTCATTATTACAGGCAATGCACCGATAGTTCCAAGTTCACCAAAATCTGTAACAGCGGCAACAAGTCCTGTAACAGATAAACCTGTAATAGCTACAGCTGTTACAACTATTACTACCACCACTATACCTACCCCAACTTTTACTGGGACTACTACGGTTACTACTTCTGTCACAACTACAGTTACCGCTACTACTGTTACAAAGACGTCCACTGCACCTCCTCTAACTAGTTCTCAACCTGTTACTAAAGTTGTTAAGTTATCTGGCTCTAATGCGACTTCACCATGTGATATCACAAATAACCAGGAACAAATTGTAGAAAAGGCAAAGCAGGTATAGTATCTTTTCTACAACGGCGTGTTAATTACTCCAACTAGATACTTGAATAAATATTAAATTATTCAATATGAAATATCTGCAGGAGGCATACGTTATGCAAAGAATTGCTGAGTTACAACGTGAAGGGTTATGGTCAGAAAGGAGGTTGCCTAAAGTACAAGAACCACCTCGTACAAAAGCTCATTGGGATTATTTATTGGAGGAAATGGTTTGGTTAGCTGCCGATTTTGCTCAAGAAAGAAAGTGGAAAAAAGCTGCAGCAAAAAAGTGTGCCCGCATGGTACAGAAATATTTCCAAGAGAAAGCAATTCAAGCACAAAAAGCTGAGAAATCACAAGAACTTAGGTTAAAGAAAATTGCTAGTTTTATTGCTAAAGAAATCAAAACTTTTTGGACGAATGTAGAAAAAGTGAGTAACTAGCAATTTCATGAATTACAGTAGTTTTTACCCCACACTATTAAGCCGACAGTTTCGATGTATTTCTATTGAAAATGTGTGCTCGTTGTGGGAACAGAAAAGTCTGCTAACAGTGTATGGTTGTATTAAATATTTGAGTACAATCAAAGGAATGATGCAGGACACTTATTTTTATAACACTTCTAATATTGACTACACGAAAGTACAAAATTTCATATCTCATTTTCCTTTTTTTTCAAGTTGGTTGAATACAAACAGCAAACGAGATTGGAAGAAAAGAGAAAACAAGCACTAGATCAACATTTAAATTTTATTGTTGGTCAAACAGAGAAATATTCAACTTGGTTAACGGAAGGACTTAATAAAACTGATGGGCCTCAAAGTATACCTGCTTCTATGAATAGTTCACGAATTTCTTCACCAGTTCCACCTGGTAAATCTCATTCTGATGGTATGTTAAACTTTGTGATCAACATTTTATACTATTTTCTTAATAATAATTGTACATGACATATATTACTTTTTTTTTTTAACACAGAGGACTTTCAACCAAATCAAAGTTCAGATGATGACGAAGAGACTATAGCTAAAGCGGAAGAAGAATTAAAGTCTGTAACAAATCATAAAGAAGAGGTTGAATTATTAAAAAAAGAGTCAGAAATACCATTAGAAGATCTCTTAAAAGATTTACCGCCAGATTACTTAGAAGATAGAAGTAAAAGCTTGTCACCTACTTCAAAAGAAGTTACTGAAGTATGTGTACAACAGTTTACATTGCTTTGCATTGTTTATTATTTAGGATTAATGTTTGACTTTTCTACAGGAAAATGAGAAGACGGCAGATGGAGATACAGATTTTGTTGCAGCATCTGACGAATCGTCAGACGAAGAGGAAACTATTATGGAACAAGAAAAATTGGAAGAAAATGCAGATTATAAACAAGAATTGGATGATCTCAAAGTACATATATATTTTACTGAATATTATAAAAATGTTAATGAGCCATTTATATGCAAAGTTCATTCTTTTAGGCTGAAAACGAAATGTCCATTGATGAACTTATGGCAAAATATGGTAATATGTCGGATGTTCCAATGGATGTGGAACAAGAGTCTGTTCAAGGTAAATAACATGCTATTTAATTTCCGCCTTATAGTATTCATACACTTAGTGATGATATTTTACCGTTCCTGACAGTTCAAGTAATGGTATTCATTCTTGATTCTTGTTTCTTGATGTAATTGAGGCATTTGTCTGAAAACTTCATATATTTATAACTTTTTAATAGATGTATAAGTTGATCATAAAGTAATATATATACATCCCTCTGTATTTAGAGTCGGATAAAGAAAGTATAAAGGAAGAAGAAAGTCAAGAGAATGAAGAAGAATCCACCAGTAATGAAAGCGAAAGCGAAGAAAGTGACAACGAAATTGGAGAACCAGAGTCTCGCATGCAAAGTGATCACGAAGCTGATATCGGTCTTAAATCTCTGTTGGAAGATATATCCATGGAAAAATCTTCAAGTGATAAGGTAAAATAGTATTTGTAATTTGTTTGGATAATTTGAACATTGTAATATATTAAATATTTTCAAGATTTTAATATACTAGTAATTTTTATAGACTGCAGAAATAGATCACTCAGATGCTAATGACGAAATGGATAATGTCGCAGCGTTGGCAGAAAGCATCCAACCCAAGGGGAATACTTTACTTACTACCAGTGTACGTTATTTTAATTATAGAGGAAAATTTAGCCTTTCATCCAAAGTAAAATGTTGTCTAATAGCATTTTATTATTTCGAAAGGCCAGAATATAAGTGATATTTATTCTCGATAAATAAATTATTTTGATTTATTTTAGAAAATTATCACGACAATTCTTAATAAATTATGTGAATCAGAAGCATAGTAATTTATTAATATTAATAAAATTTTTATTATAATTTTAGGTTGTTACTAAAATTCCATTCCTTCTAAAACACTCATTGAGGGAATATCAACATATAGGATTGGATTGGCTTGTTACAATGTATGAGAGAAAATTAAATGGTATTTTGGCAGATGAAATGGGTTTGGGTAAAACTATACAAACAATTGCTTTACTTGCACATTTGGCATGTGAAAAGGGTAATTGGGGACCTCACCTTATAATAGTACCAACGTCAGTGATGCTTAATTGGGAAATGGAATGTAAAAAATGGTGCCCTGGTTTTAAGATTTTAACTTATTATGGTACACAAAAAGAAAGAAAACAAAAAAGGACAGGTATGAATCTAATTTCCTTTCTGAATAGGCATAGGGAAGAATAACTGTGTTGATAATATTTTCTCGTGTTACCTAGGTTGGACAAAACCTAATGCCTTTCACATATGTGTAACATCGTATAAATTAGTTATACAAGATCATCAAAGTTTTAGAAGAAAAAAGTGGAAATATCTTATATTGGATGAAGCTCAAAACATTAAAAATTTTAAATCACAAAGGTGGCAATTACTGTTAAATTTTCAAACGCAACGGTAAATACTTGTAACCTTCTGCATAAAGAATATATTTATTTAATACTATATTGTATTAAATTGTCTATTATAGGCGATTATTGCTTACTGGTACACCTCTTCAAAATAATTTGATGGAACTGTGGTCTTTAATGCATTTTTTAATGCCAAATGTATTTCAGTCACATAGAGAATTTAAAGAATGGTTTAGTAATCCCGTTACTGGAATGATAGAAGGAAACAGTGAATATAATGAGAATATCATTCGTCGACTACATAAGGTCTGTAGGTAGATTATATTCATATTAATTTGCTCATGTACACAACTCGCTACCGACCCAGATATGCGTCAGAATGGCACATGTCTGTTTTATCTATACATAGCGAGATATTAAAGTAATTCTCTCTTAAAACTCGCGTGTCAGAATCTATAATATGACATACGAATCCTGTCGTGAGAAACAATTTTTCTTTGCAAAAATTGTTATTACGTAGTTAGGTAAAAATAAAAATGTTATAACTGTGTTGCTTGCAGGTTTTACGGCCTTTTTTATTACGAAGATTGAAAACAGAAGTAGAAAAGCAATTACCTAAAAAATATGAACACGTTGTTATGTGCCGCCTGTCAAAACGACAACGATATTTATACGATGATTTTATGTCTAGAGCAAAGTAAGAATTATTCTCTTTATTTTTACTATAATTTTTATGGCTTTATTATTGCAATGCTAACGGAGATTATTATTATTTTAAAGAACAAAAGAAACTTTGGCTAGTGGTAACTTATTAAGTGTCATTAATGTATTAATGCAATTACGGAAAGTTTGCAATCATCCAAATTTATTTGAAGTAAGACCTACTGTGTCACCATTTCAAATGGAAGCTATTGAATATGTTACGGCTTCCTTAGTATGGAGTGCTTTAGATTATGATCCATTCAAGGTTTGTCATCTGTTTATTTAATTTCCATCTAATTCTAAATAGTTGTTTCAAAAGGCTGGAAAAAATAATATATTCATTTGTTACAGCACATTGATTTAACTAGTATTAATTTTTTATTATGTGATTTGGAATTGACTCTTACTGCATTTACGGCACATAGAGTTAGGCGATTACAAACTCCACGGAAACTTATAGAAGAAATAGACACACAACCAGATCCACCTCCAAGATGTCCACCCGGAAAAATTAAAATTAATGTTAGATTATCTAACCAAGTTAAACAGTCTCCTACACCTCAACAGACTCCAACGAAATTGAAGAATTTAGTTGGAATATTGCCTACTCCAAGGGTTGGAACATCTCCCTTAATAAAAACAGCAAATAATCAAAACACTCCAGGACAAGGTAACACTCGCTTCGAAAATCTAACACGTTACTTCTTTCTTGCAATTAATTTTGCTTTATTTTGCAAATTTATAGGCGTCACTTTAAGAGTACAAGGAGGGCAACAATTACAGGGATATTCTGTGCAATTAGTTCAACATCAGGGTAGTGTGAAAGGTATTAATTATTTTAAATGTTTTAACGTGTTCTACGTACACTTACTCCCAAATTTGGGTCCCTGTGCATCATCGATCAGTGGTTGCACTCAGTATCATCGCTGTGTAATCATTTTTGCAGTGGTGCTAGAGGAATTGGTCTCGGGCCAGCCTGTTTATAGTTTTCCCATGTTATAAGCATTCTAGAACCGAGAGCACATTAACAAAACTTACATTTAATTATAATCTAACATTTGTAAGTCACAGTTTGTGTAAAACATTTGTTGTTGTGTTTGCTTCGAAAATAGCAATTCCTGTTGGAACACTAGCACATAACCCACAAAGTACAACAGTGACACCAACTACAGCAGCAACGAATGCACAGAGGATTACAGTAGGGAATGCAAATATTAGAGATGGACTGCAACGACTAGCCACGCAGACAGTAACAGTTAAACAAGGTGATTCCGTCCAAAGAATAGCAGTGCCTAGTTTTGCACAGCTGGTTCAGACATCTACTGGTAGACATATCATTCTGACTTCAAATCAGCAAAACACTAACACAGGTTTGTCCGAAGAGTGCTCATAATCCCACTGACTTCATTTATGATCCATATTAAACATCGTGGTCCACGAATTTCCTTTTTCATATCATTTGTATGCACTTAAATGAATGTTGTCAAAAAATAATCCATGATGCATGATTATAAATAATAATAATAATTCCCTATGTTTGTGGACAATTTTTACTACAATCTTAAAATGTAACTTGTAGAACGATTAATTTAGTAAATACTGAATTATTGCAAAAAATATATAATTTCTTATACTTACAGTTTCATTTCCAGTAATGACACCAAGCGGACAACGCTTAACGGTTTTATCCAAATCTTTGATGGGCCTATCTACCTCGGCAACTACAGTGAACAAAGTAGTAACGACCACAAGTGGTACAAGTGGGCGACCAGTAATGAGGGTGCCACCGCTAAATGTTACTACTACTCAGACACAGTCTTCTCCTACTGGCAATGGACAATCTCAACAACAATCAATTCGTTGTGGTATCGTTACCAGACACGCACAAAAAGAATCAGAGAAGGCACAAACGAAGGAACGTCCAAAATCTGAATTTTATTTGGTAATTATTTAAATTATCATAATGCTTTAACTTTTTCTTGACGTATGCATAAATTCTTATGTAAATGTATTTCCATAGCCACAATTGGAAGAAGAAAGAAAACAAAGACGGCAAGCTAAACTTCAGCTTCTTGCAAATATCAATGAAAAAAGATGTGCCGCGTGTCCTCTGTATGGTGAAGATTTGTTTATGGCATTACGAATTGGAAAACCATCAACGGCATGTCGATGGCACAATGGTTGGGTTCATTGTGCAAATGCTAAAGAAAGTGTACGTACGCGAAGACAGTTTTTTTCTCGTACGGAAGCACTTGCAGAAGCGATCAAAAGTACGGAACAAATTGTTGAAGAGCTTAAAGAAATTTTTGAAAGGTTCGTCTATTGATAAGGATTTGGAAACTTATCCTTTGTAATCAATTTAATGTGTGTAATATATTAATTTTATTTTAGATTCGCTGTTTATGTTCCTGCTGTGTGCGCACCTACCCCACGTTTTCATGTTTCTCATCCCCCTCCACACAAGTTTTACGCTCAGCGTCGTATGCAAATGGAATTGCAACGTCAACTATCACCAAAATTGGCATTGTTCCATCCAATAGCTAGTGCAATGATGACACAATTCCCTGATCCTAGATTAATACAGTATGACTGTGGAAAATTGCAGTCTTTAGATCAGCTTCTTAGGAAGCTTAAATCTGAGAATCATAGAGTGTTAATTTTTACGCAAATGACAAGAATGTTGGACGTATTAGAAGCTTTTCTTAATTTCCATGGTCATATATATTTGCGCTTGGATGGTACTACTAGGGTAGATCAACGACAGGTACGTTCTTATTAACGCTCAATAATTGTTATCATTTTTATCGTCTTTATTATATGTACTTTTTTGTTGAAATGCAGGTTTTAATGGAAAGATTTAACGGAGATAAGCGAATATTTTGTTTCATTTTATCGACAAGGTCAGGAGGTGTAGGTGTGAATCTTACAGGAGCAGATACCGTTATATTTTATGACAGTGATTGGAATCCTACAATGGATGCCCAAGCACAAGACAGATGTCACAGAATAGGACAAACACGGGATGTACATATTTACAGGTAAATATAAAAAATACAGTACACGAACTTGTGTAATTTCAAGTATACATGTTTTCTCTTATTACAGATTAGTAAGTGAAAAGACTGTAGAAGAAAACATTCTGAAAAAGGCCAATCAAAAGAGACTTCTTGGAGATTTAGCTATTGAGGGTGGAAACTTCACAACTGCTTACTTCAAGAGCGTAAGTATTGCATGCGTAAAATAAATAAGCTTGTTCGTTGTAACATATCTTATAAAACTGAATATTATTTTTACAGTCTACAATACAAGATCTCTTTAATATCGATCAAACGGAAAATGATGCAACGGCGCGAATGGCCGAAGTGTTGGAACAAAATAAAGATCGAGAAAAATTCTTGCAAAAGGACAATCAAGGTCAGCCAGTGGACGATAAGGTAGCTATGGGTGCACTCGAAAGCGCCCTTGCTGCTGCCGAAGAAGACCTTGATGTTCAGGCTGCAAAAACAGCGAAAGCTGAAGCTGTTGCGGATTTAGCAGAATTTGACGAGAACATACCTTTAGAGGATGCTGATAAAGATGACATGCAAGTCAGCAAAGCTGAACTTGAAGTACAAAATTTAGTATCTCAGGTAAAATATTTTCTCTCTTTGCGCGAACAAATGATTTTTGAAACACATTTTTTTACAAAACGATTATTTAAAAATTTTCTTTCCATACTCAGCTGACACCCATAGAACGTTACGCGATGAAATTCGTTGAGGAATCAGAGGGGGCATTTTCTGCGGCACAACTTGCTGCAGCAGAACGTGAACTAGAACAACAAAAGAAAGAGTGGGAATTAGATCGGTTACGAGCGTTACGTGAGGAGGAAGAAAGACGAATGCGGTTGGCTGACGACGATGAGAAGCCCTTAACATTTGGACGCGAGGATGCGCAAAATCAGGTTAATAGTGCTAGTAATTCTAAGAAATTAGTCAATAAGAGACCGAATAGGAGGAGAAATTCGCGTAAAAATAATAAGAGTACTCAAGAATCGGAAAGCGAGACCGAGACTACTACGGAATCGGAATCAGAGTCGCAGGAAGACGTGGTAGAGGATAGCCTTGACGAAGAATCGAGTCACACGGAGAGTCAGAGTCAAGGCGACGAGGACGAGGAGGAGGAGGAGGAGGCAAATGATCAGAATGATTCCGAGAAAGGCGGGTATCCAAAACGTAAAAATCGCTCTAACAAATCGTTTAGCCAAAATCATTTTGATTTGAATAGTCCGCGAACAAGATCCAGAGGGAACGTTAAAATTAACCTATGGACTTTGGATGTCAGTCCTATTTTGCCAGGTATAAAACCGAAGGCTCGAGGTAGGGCTAGTAATCTGCGAAAACAGCGCGAACTTGAAACGAGAATGAAAGCCGAAGAAAGTTTTGTTTTACCTTTACCACCTGTTTCGAGTCCTAAAAAGTTCAACAATTCAAATGTTTCAAATAAGTTCGACGAAGAACACGATACCGATTTAAATTATATCAATACCGAAAGAAACAAAACTTCGCCTGTTAAAGAAACAAGTGAAAGTGTTGCTAATTGTAAAACTGTTACGAATCATTGTACCATTTCAACAGCTTCGTCAACGCTGAAATTGAATAAAGTCACGGAAGAATCTAATTCTGTTACGCATTTAGATTCTTTAGAAGCAGAAACGTGTTTCCATTCGTATAATTCATCCGACATGTCGGAATCTGATTTGAGAGATGACAGTGAAGTGACGCAAGATTTAACAGACACCAGTGAGTCTTCGGTACACATTGCACGATCCACGCACAGGTCTACGGCACAGAGCAGTAATTCGGAAAGCAACGCAAATTTTAACGAGGATTCTGAAAATTCGGAAGCTAATGGTGATTCCAATTCCTCTACGGTAGAGTCAGGCACTTTAAAAACTATTTCTGATTCAAAGTCTTTAAGTAATTCAATCACTTTAGATATAAACGAGGAGATCAATATATCAGAAAATTCATTGACTGCCCCCGTAAAAAATAAAATGATTATTCAAGATACAAAGGAAGCTAGTAAAGAATCTGTAACAGAAAACTTAAGTAAGAGTTCAGGCGATGAAACAAACGACCAATTAACCCAGGAACCTGTTTCCACTCTACAATCGAAGACGTTAGAAAGTAAAAATGTAAAGTTCCAGAATGAAAGTAGTGCAAAAGATACGAACAGATCGCATAGTCCTGTCGAGACGAAGGAGAACATAGACATAGAAACGAATAAGGAACAATTGGACAAAAGCGATTCGAATTTAGATGTAAAAGACGAGTCCGTTAATGATAATATATTTAATTCTGTGATAGAAACAAACTCTAGTCAAGAGTTTAGTAACAAAGAGGAAAAGCGTACTAAAGTAGAAGAATCTACGAACAATGAAGATGAAGAAGAAACTCAGTCCTCGTCCGATAACAATGACAATAATTCTGCTTCGGATACGTTCAAATCAGACACTTTATCCGAGTCTGAGTCAAGCACCGAGAGCAAACTCAAGTTTCGTAAACCAGACACGATATCCTACGCGATAACAACGAGAAGCGCAAAATTAAATCAGAACGTGGAAAGTTCGGAGAACAAAAATTCGGAGACGCAACCGATTCTGCCAAGTATTTCCAACGAGCCGAAACAAAACGAAGCTTCAAGTGCAAATTTAAACGTTCATCGGAAGGAAGCGAATAAGGTGTTGCAAATTCGCAGGCCTGACACACCACGGCCCATGATAGAACAAAGTAGAGTGACAAGGTCGAGCGCGGGTCGTTCTTTAACGCCTCCACCGAGGAACAGTCAGAGTCCCTCGAAATCGATTCAAAGAAGACGACCGGACACGCCGTTACCCGAATGTTTCAAATCTTCTCCGCGACCAGCGACGAGATCTATGACGAATGCGAATTCGCCGGTGAGAAACGAAGAACAGAACACGTCTTATGAAAAACCAACAACCCGTAGTTCAAAAACTTTGGACAATGGTTTCTTGAATCCAGCTCTATTCCGAAGAAGTAGGTCGATACCACCTATGAAATCAGCATCGGAATCGAAAGATTCCAGTCCTGTTTTAACCAGATCAAAAAAGACCAGTGATTCCACGTGTGTAAATACGAGTACTGTAAAACGACGACCAGATACACCGGTTCCTACTTTTGAACAGATGTCAAGGGTCACTCGGTCTGGCTTAAATTTCACACCAAATTCGGGAAAATCAGGTTTTAATCATTCGTCGGCAGTTAGAGGCAATAAACATACGAGGAAGTCAGAAGCTTCAGACTCAAAGGCGGAAGAAGATTCTGTTACTTCACCATCGGCCGACAAAATAGAGGCATCGAACACGGATTCAAACGGAAACGATGTGGCGTCCGAGAGTTTCGCGAAACAGGAGGAGTCGCCGTTGCCTCCTTTCACCGAAATCAACGAAAAACCACAAAGAACGGCCAAGGTAGTCGCGATTCTTACTCTGGACACGAGGAGCAGTCACGTCACCAAAGCGTCGAGTTCTGTTCATTCGAAAACGTCGAATTGCAATTTCACAGACACGAAGAGTGTTAAAAAAAACGCCGATTCTAATTCGACGTCCGATTCGCCGGGAAAGAATTGCGTCTTCAGGATCTCGGACGTGGGCTCCAACTGCAAATTGGACGGCTGGCACGGTTCTGGATTAGACGGTACACGAGATCGCATCTCCTCCAGCGTACTTTCCAACGTAGCAAGTACTTACGGTAATAATAAAACGGGGAAAGCGTCAACCGTGAACAAAGTTACGTCGCCTTTGAACTCTAAACTTAAAACGGAGAAGATTCCGATGCCTGTACAGTCGGCGGCAGTGATAGCTGTGGTAGATCTGGATAATGATTCCAATTACGACTCATCCGATGGGTCGAAAAGATTGCGAAGAAAGATCAAACGATCCCGAGTAACGTCGTACGCCAAGTCGTTTATAACTGGCAAGAATGAGTCGCAAATGGACGACGCGTTAGACGATAAAGAGGAACAGATACCTCCTATAAAGAAGTCTGTTCGTTCGCAACTCACTCCTCCTCCTTCTTCGCAAACCACTCAGTTGGAGAAGATCAGTAGTAGTACTATATCTTGAGTCTCGCTAAAACTTTATCGCTGTAACATTTAGCAGCGTACTTGTATAAATGTTTCAGACACGCATAAACATTTTGGACTGTTGCTTGGAGTGGCGTGCGCATAATCCAAGTTCTGATTATTATTATCATGTGTTTTTTTCATCTTTTTTTTTTTCTTAATTTTTCACACGATTCTTGTACATAATTCACGAAACGTAAGGAAGTAAGCGAGACATTTCTTTAGTTGTACTGGGTACACACGTGTAATATTTTTTAGCATTGTAAATTGTGCTCTCCTGTAAAGGTTTCTCGAGAATGTCTTTGAGCGACATTGTAATTTATACTTGGTGATATAAAGGAAAAATGTGAACGAAAGATTTAAGAGATCCGACTGTGTATCATAATAGGAATAGAAACGAGAAAATGATTCGTTATAGATTAGTTGATTTAGCACGACTGCAAATAATTGGTTTGCGGCGTGATCGTATAAACGAGATACAATAGACAGTCGATTCAGAAGTATAAAATTGATGAAATGAAAAACGTAATATTCTTCTGTGAACGCGCCGTACTTTGCTCTCATGTAACGCCTTGTATTATATAACTTGCAAGGTAACGACCTGATTACATGCTAGATTTTAAGAAGTTTATTCGTTTAATGGTATGTCCCACTGTAATATTTAAGTTGCGTGCCTGTATTTTGTATGATCGAGTGAATCCGAGAAAGGAAATAAACAAAATATTCCTTGCTACGAAGCCGATGTGTTTTCTTATTTCTTGGTGCGTTTCCAAGTCTGTTCGATCAAAGGTTCAGTTCCGTTTTGGTGTCAAATTTTGCTCAGTGTGCTTGGTTATATATACATTGAGGATCATTAAAAGCGACGATCTCGCGTTCTCGTGATGTTTTGGTGTGGCAAGGCTATCATGACCGCACATTAAAAGAAAAAAATTTGTGTAAATTAGTCAGAAAAATAATCGCATGTAGTAGAATGCTCCAATAGTTATTTAAAAAAATGGCACCAAAACACTGCCTTTGCCATTCCAAACTTGGAGTCAGCCAAGGTATAAGCAGGCACATTAATGAGCGTCTTGTACGGTAATTCATGTTAACACGGAATCGAAGGAACATGATATTTTGCTAGGAAAATGAGCCTTTGAACGAGCACAGTGTATTCCTATTCATTTCCTTGATATTCCAAGGTGATCCGTTTTTCATTCGGGATAAGTGTCATTTTCATTAACGTTCTTTGCTTGCAACAAAATATGTCCGAAATCCGAAGGCATACGGGTCAAGAATAAATCGCCAATTTATTTGTTTGGTTATATCTTTATATTTGGGTGCGGTGTACACGACGCTCGTTTTTCGCAAACTTTCTCATTAAGTCTTCTGGAAGAAGATCATTATTTGTAATCTGAACAGATCTGATAGTCGTACTTTAATGTCTTACAGATATGGTTGTCGGACGACAATATGGAACAGATGCCGGTTCGTATATGAATATTACTTTTCTTTCTTCAAAATCTTGAGGAAGCGGATAGACAATTTCTTTTCTATTTGTCAGATGTGGTGTCCTCCAACGCCTCCCACAACGGATAACGATGTTTACATCGACTATTCTTTGGGATTTCTTTATGAAAATACACCTATGTCAGAGGCTCAATTGCCTCCGATATACATTAAGAAAGAACAAAAGAGAAGTAGAATCGACGCTGGACTTAGCGATCGCGATGGTAAGTGTCTTCCATTATAGCGAATCACATTGATATGATAATCCAAATTACTTGTTGTTTGTTATGTAAAGAAGTAGTGGGTAAAATTTGATCTTGCGATCGGAAAGGCACTTAAAAAAACTATCAATAATTCTTCATGTAACAAATAGGTCCCAAGTAATTTTGATAGTACCGTGAAAAATTATGTATAATAATATTTTGCTAAATCGTGTATTTGTTGCATAGGACGGCGAGCAGTTAAAATGCGACACAAGGAGGAATCGGTATACGCACCGAGATCTTTGTTCGATCGGCCTTCACCAGCATTAACGAAAATGCGTCGTGACATGAAATTACATAAATATCGCATAGTTCGACCGCCGATTCCATTGCCGGGTGTAAAACCGCATATGTCGAAGTCTTCAACGGACCAAGAACTTGTTTTAGACTGGATGATACACGAAGATTGGGCACTTCTTCAAGCAATTCAGATTTATCAAGGACTGCCATTGAATTTAATGATCTTATCCCCTGGTCATACTCCAAATTGGGATTTAGTTGCGGACATAGTGAACAATACGTCTCGAATATATAGGTCCCCTAAGCAATGTAGAAGTAGATACGAATCGGTGATAGTACCGAGAGAAGAAGGAAAATTACTTTATGATACCACGCCGAAAAAACAAAAGAAACAGAAAGGCGTTTACAAGATGCCTCAAGTTTCAGAGGTATATTGTGATATTTTTATTGTACATTTGAGGAAGGATGTTGACACAAATTATCGTTGTTTAATCGTCTTCTTTTAGCAACAAAGTAAAACAAACAGGCCAATGAAAACGTCTCAGTTATATAATCAGGATAAGAATCACTCATTCACATTAATGTGCTGTCAAAGATTTGACACCATAAAATCTGTTTCCAATAAGAGAACACCTACCGTTAAACCGTTGCTCGTTAATCCGTTAATGAAGAACCCCACTAATGCTGCCGTTTTAGCCGAATGTGGCATTCAGTATGACAGTCCCTTAGCACCCATAGAAGTTGCAACCCGACGAGCTGACAGGATCGCAAAGGAGAAACTTAAACATGCTGTTAGTATAATAAGATTCAACATCTCGACCATTTGAATGAAATGCATAGAAAGTATTATATATTTTTTATTCAGGTTTTAACTGCTGAGCAACAGCAGCAAGTAGCTGCCCGTTTGCTGCAGCAACAGCAGCAGCAGCAACAACAGCAACAGCAACAAGCTCAACAGCAGCAGCAGCAGCAGCAGCAACAACAACAGCAGCAGCAAATAAAATTGCAACAACAGCAGCAGCAACAAGCACAGCAAAACATTTCGAATACCACGAGTCCTCAAGTACATCAATTGACCCAAGTTGTAACGACAGTTACGACTGGCCTGACAACGATGAAAACTGTCACAACAATGACGAACGTTACCACGTGTGGAACGACAGTTGCTACATCCGCGGCCAAAACTCGACCAGGAGGAACGTTGACTATGCAAGACACGCGTACTGCGCCAACCGTTGTTAGTGTTGGTAATCTTCAAGCTGCTCAGAGAATCGCAACAGCGAGTTTGGTATCCGCTGCACAGAGTTCTCCGTCAGCTACGCAGAAGGGTATCGTTGGAGTCACTGTAGCGACAGCTTCCGGTAGCAAAACGTTAACCGCTGCACAATTGCAGTATTATAGACAGCAGCAAGTTTTGTTGCGACAACAGCAACTGAAAGTACTACAAGCCCAGGCTGCGAGTGGTCAAAAAGTCTCAGTAGCTGTCTCGGCTGCTGCTGCGCAGCAAAGAGCTACTCTGATGAAGCAAGGTATAACCGCTGGCACTGTTGCACAAACAACCGTTGGAAAGCAGACGGTAGCACGTACAGTGTCGGAAACTGAAATGGCCGCTCTGTTAAAAAGACAGGCCTTACAGCAGCAAGCAAAGGCAGTGGCTCAGGTTCAAGTACCTTCGCAAGCCGGGCTTACTCCGGCTCAAATATTCGCGCAGGCAGGTTTGCAAGTGCAGCAAGCTGGAACATCTGCCGGTGGAACACCAGTTGCTACTTTGGTGAAAGCAGCAAATGTAGCCAGTGTACGAACAGCAACGCCTCAACAGATTCGTCAGCTTGCTCTTCACCCTCAAATCATTACTCAAAGGAAATTACCGGCGCAGAAGGTTGCACAGTTAACGCAGGTTGCTGGTAAAACTGGGGTTCAAACGCAATTGATTGTGCAACAAAAGTCTCTGCCCGCAACAATGACTGTGCAGCAGATTCAACAAGTTATGAAACACGTCCAGCCGTCGGCGATGCAACAATTCACTCACGTACGTTTATATACTTGTTATTGAATCCCTAATTAAGATATAGAACTTTGTTGTTTTAATTAATAAATTAAAGAAGTTGATAATTTAGAAATTGGGTAATATTAACTTCATGTAACCTTTTCCAGGTTCTTTATTTTTAACAGTAATATATGTGATTTCAGGTCTCTACGGGACAAGCAGTTTCTTCCCAGCCCGGTCAAGTAGTTTTAACAAAATCTCCCTTACAAACGCGAGTAATTCCAGTTGTATCTGCCGCTTTGAAACAAACAATACAAGTTGTTACGGCAAGTAGTGCTCAATTGCGACAAGCTGCACCTGCTCAAGGGAAACCCGTTGTTACGACTGCAAGAGGTAGTCCTGGACCTAGTCAAGTCAGATTGCAAACCATTACGCATCCTGTTCATCCTCAGCAAGTGCAACAGCAACCGCAACAGCAACAACAGACTCAACCAGATGCTCAACCAAAATAAATATTGTATATTTCGGAAGACGCACTCGAATCGACTTAGCATTAGGAATTTTTATTTCGAATTCAGGTGGTTGGAATAAAGGAAAATGAATATCAGGATTCAATTGGGGTTCTCTCAAAATAGTGACAACATTCCAAAAGGTATTGCGAGTAATATAATTGCAATTGATGTTGTAATCCTATTTCGGATCAACCAGTACACAGTTGTAATATTTGTGCAAAGATTAATACCACTTCACCTTTACGTAATAAAGGTATTTTTTTTATACTTCGATTTTATCTACGAGAAAGTGACACTGCAAACGGCGAATGTTATAAATCAGTATTGAAAAATTTGGTTTTTAATCGTAGTATATCGTCTTTCAAAATTTGCTGGCCGAATTTGTACATAAATCATACTGGCAAAACTTTTGTTACGCGTTATTGACTTTGAAGAATTCTGGAATAGTATTATGAATTTATTATGACATAGTTTGTTTTAAACGCTTATTCGACGAAGAGCCCATTCGTGACGATTACTTCACATTTTAGTATCTAATCGAAGATTTTAATTAAATAGATTTTTTGTGTCAAGTTCAGTACGGTTTTCTTTATGTAATATGTACATCTATATCACTTTCAACTCCTAATATATTATTTCATGGAAAACGAATAATTTGCGAAAGTAAGCATGCCCTGTTGCGCATCGAGACCGTATCTTTCTCGGTTTTCTAAGAACAAAAACAAATTTAGCCTCGAGAAATACGCTTAACTTGTCGATACATGTGAGTAGAAAGAATAAATATGAATTTACGACTGTATATGTATCTATAGTTACCTGTAGGATTTAAAATTTCGTTCGATAATATGATGTTTATACTAGGCTCTTTATCGAATTGTGTAAGATTGTACTAAATATATATATAAATATATATATATATATAAATATGTATAATTCGTGTATTATAGACGCTAAAATAAACAAACTCGGAAGGAATGTATGCATTTCGTACGCGGTCTATGTATATTCTTTATAATTGTCTTACTAAAGACGCTAACAAGCACGTAATTCTATAAGTATCCTTATATTCTCATAACATAAACTCGAAATACATATTTCAGCGTTAAGAACCATTCTTTCCGATTCTGATTAATAGAATTATTTTTGCTTCAATTTGTTTATACTCTGTCATTCTTTGATGTATCCATCAACGTCACTGATAAATGCCTGGTAGTTTTTTACGTTGTACATACTTGCTAAGTCATGTCATTGCGCCGATAATTATGATAAATGCCAGATATACGTTGTTTTGTATAGAATATCATTTTCTCTTAAAAATTTCATATCATATGGTACAATGACTTGAGGAATCTAGTTTAATTATAAAAATTGAGTAACAGAGATATCTACAACTTAAAGAGATTACTCTAATATATATCTCTTTTTCTACATGATATTTGATAATCATACTTATATAATTGTACATGTCTACCATAATCTAAAACAGCGTTGTATGCGAACTGGTAGTCATTCAGTTGCAAACAATGGCAGTGTTAAGTTCTTTCCTTCTGAACTTGGGTTTTACAGTCGTTGCGCTCTTAACTATTTTAGTTCTTTATGTGAAATATAAACGAAGTTACTGGCAAAGACGCGGAGTGTCTACTCTACCAGGGCACTGGTTGTTTGGTAACATAAAAGACGCTGCATTACAGAAAAAGTCTTTTGCTCAAGTGTTTGGTGAATTGTATGAGCAAGCTGCGGATACGGATGATGTTTTGGGAATTTATGTTCTCCATAAACCCTTCTTGTTAATAAGAAATCCGGAAGTAATTAAACAGATTCTAATTAAAGACTTTAATGTATTCCCAAATCGCTATTTCTCCGTTCGCTCGCTTCACGATGACATCGGTCATAGAAATCTTTTCTCCATTGAGAATCCTCCATGGAAATACCTTAGGTGCGTTTCGAATTATTGCTAAAATTACTTTTTGTAAAATGTTTATACATATTTTATCAGCTGGGAATTCGAAAATTTAAAACTACCTATTTACGTATCCTATTAATGATACTTTTATTTCAGAACCAAACTTTCGCCCGTATTCACCGGTGTAAAACTAAAGAAACTTTTCCATCTGATAGTTCAAAATGCTAATTCAATGAGCAAATATATGGAAAGTCAGTTTTTAAACGGTACAAAGACAAAAAATATGAGGGTAAGAGATATTGCCTTGAAGTACACGACCGATATTATATCTAATATTGCTTTTGGAATTGAAGTCAATTCTTTCGATCCTGAAAAAGTAGAATTCTTCAACAAAGGTATTTTGTTGAAATTACAAATTACAGCTTTTTCACTCTTTGTTGAAATAATTTCATATTTCCGGTTTTTGTTTCTCGTTTGACAGTTCAAGAGGGACTTCAATTTTCCTTCAAGCGGGGCCTAGAATTTTCGATGATGTTCTTTTTCCCGACGATTGCTAAATACATAGGTACTCAAATGTTAGGTTCGTCTACGGATTACTTCCGTAAAGTATTCTGGGATTCAATGGATACCAGAGAATCGAATAAAATTAAACGAGAAGATTTGATCGATTTGTTATTAGAGTTGAAGAATGAGAAGCAGGAAAACTCTGAATTCAGTTAGTGATAGTTAATTAATCCTGTCTTGTAATATTTCATAAAATTTTGTTTTGTTATTGCTCTTCAGTTGAAAAATGTTTGTAGAATTTGAGGGCGATACACTGTTGAGTCAATCAGCCATTTTCTTCGTTGCTGGCCGCGAATCTAGCGTATCAACTATATGCTTCACCCTTGCTGAGCTTGCTAAACATCCAGAGATTCAGAAACGAACGAGAGCAGAAATTTTAGAGAAGTTAGAACAATATGGAATGACATACGAGGCTGTTCAAAATATGAAGTATCTTCATCAAGTAATTTCAGAGACTCTGAGACTATATCCACCAGCTCCGATTCTTGATCGAGTGCCTGTTGAGGATTACAAGGTAATGTGGATGATGACATATGAGGAAAAGAACAGAAATTGATTGATAATGTTTTAGATACCAGGTACTGATATAGTATTAGAGAAAGGGACACCCGTGTATATAAGTTTGACTGGTCTTCACCGCGATCCAAGATATTATCGTGATCCCCTATCTTACAATCCTGATAGATATACTGATGAGAATAAAAATGATATTCCCCCATCCACGTATATACCATTTGGTGAAGGTCCACGAGTTTGCATTGGTAAGAAAAGTAGTTTATTCAAAAATTATATCTTTAAAAGAACATCGCTAGTTTGTATTATCAAATATAAATATGTTTCGTAGGTACACGACTCGGCCAGTTACAAAGTGCAATAGGTATACTCACAATACTTAAAGATTATGAAGTTTCATACGATTCTACTTGTAAATGTGACATTGAGAAACGTAACGTGTTCTTGTCACCAGTGGAAGATTTTAGATTAAATGTAACGAAAATCTAAAGTGTACTTAATTGTAAATATTATATTTGTTTTACAATTAAAATAATTCATTTGTTTATGGAAATGCACAAGTCTAATATAATATAAATATGACGATAGAATGATAAATGTATTTCTTTATATATACAAATATAAATTTTTAATACTATCATACATAATCTCTTAAATAATGTTACTAGTTACTATCTTATTTTGGCAATAGTGTCAAATATTTTTTAAATTCTGGAATGACACATTCTCGTGGATTTAATGGCGTTTGCGAAGTAAGATAATCGCTTAAATATTGTGGCATAAAGCAAAGAATACCTTTGCTAGCTAACATCGCCCAATCAATTGGCTGACTAACTTGTCTGACATTTACAAAACAATGAGTAATCTTTTTACCTGTAGGACTAGTATCGTATGGTGGTCTGAAAGAAAAATAATATATTGATTATTCTCATAATAGCAATAACAGTCTGAAATGTTTACCTTGCTTGAACAACTTTGCCACCTCCAGCTTCAATTAATCTCTGGAACTGGTCGTATTTATCACCAGAAACTAATAGCAACGCTACCATGTTACAAAACGGTCCATTTGGTTCCTTAAGCAACTTCAACCTCCATCTATATGCAGCTGCTGCGATTATCTCTTCAATTTCACCATTTGGTTCTGGTATAACATCTCTACTTTTCGGATTACCCCATTCGTATTCTTCTTCCTGTTAAGAAGTGAATGCAATTAAGAAATTAATGAGTAGAGAGATCAATTATAAATTAGTGATGGGTAAGCCTAGGAAGGAAATTTGCTCATCGCTATTGCAGATAATAATAACTAATTATACTAACATTTAAAAATTTTCCTTCCTGTTCACAATCCCGTAAGTACATACAATGAAGAACCCACTTTCCAGATGCTATACTACCCAGCATCTTTTCGTTTCTTGACGGTCTGATACAAAGTAAATGTGTCGCAGTGATATCAAAACTAGGATCCGAAGATACATCACCTCCAAGATCTTTTATTACTTTTTCGTACGCCGTTCTATCCTGTTGAAGTGAATGTGTTAATAAAATACTAATATTATTTATTATAACAAGCAACATACCTTTATGCCTGAAAGCATAAATTTAGGTCTTTTTGGAGGCTCGATTTCCTCCACTGATTCTTCTTCAGCATCATCTCCATTTTGCTCGTTCTCATCGATACTTTCATTTTGTTCATGTTGTATTGTTAACTAGTTATACAAAGGTAATTCCAGTTAAATTAATTTCAGATAAAATCAATTTATATATTTAACTTACTTGTTTCGCATGACACGGATCTTCCCATACAATGGCATCGATGGGTTGAGAATCTTTTGCAATAACTACGGAAAAAAATATATATTAAACAGACGATTAAATATTACTAAAATGATAACTGATACTTACATTTTTGTATGGGATCAGAAGGTTCTGTATTGTACGAGCTTGCCTTTTCTCCAGAAAGAGAATACCTATTTTCGGGGGTACTCGATGTTCGTTGCAGCATTTGATCCAACTGTGCAATTTGCCTACCATGTAAAATTATACGTAAAGTTCATGTAACTATCTTGACTCTTTAATACCTTTGTATATAAACTTACATATTAATTTCAATATTTTGTAGCGGACTATTTTCGTCGGTGAATTCCAATTTTCTTTTAATAGGTGTAGTATCAGTTGCTTTATAACTATCATCTTTTGTTTCTACTGTTTCTGGTATTTCTGCTGCTTCTGCTGTCTCTGCAACTTCTGGTTCTGCCGACGATTGATTATTAACAGTAAGTGATGTCTCCCCTGTGCTGTCCTATTACAATTAAAGATTAAAAAATACGCTGTAATTGTTATGAGTGTATACTAATAATAAAATATATTACCTCCAAATTTTGACCTTGATTTTTCAGTTTTTTCCATAACTGTTTTTTCAGATCTGAAAGAGGCTGTAAATTTCACTGTATTAATACATGTACATACACGAAGAATGCAGACATGATTGAAATTCATAAGATACAAACAGTGCTGAGAGCTCTTTTCTTCAAAGGTGGCTCTTCCACTCTTAAATCCGGAAAATTGTCAACCCATTTAACCCAACCTTTTCTCGTGTCTGGAGAGGGATCTGGTCTAAACACTTGACCATACGGTGTTTCTGGTGTAGACACATGAAACGGTGATTGTGGAGTTTTATTCATGAGTAAACTGAGTCTCTTATTTATTAATGGTGTTTCACCGGAACCACTCTCTTGACTCTGTAATATATATTTTTAAGCAATAAATCATAATACAAAATGATACCCAATTAACATTCCTTCGATTACCTGTAAATGAGCTAAATGACGTTTCGGAGTAACAATGTTTCTATTTATTGGTTCGACTGGAGGTCTCATTTGACTTGTATTGGTTTTAGATAAACTTGTATCTCCGTCGTCTGATTGACTCGATCTTTCAGGAGCTTAATAATAAGAGATATTTAAGTAACTCAAACATATAATCTAATTCTAAAAGTTTTACATACCCATAGTCTCCCCCACAAGGAATGGTGTTTCATTGACGCGTTTCGATTGAGCTGCACAAGACTTCAGCCAGTCAGCGGTTACAGCTGGTAATTTCCATTTGACTGCTGCATTATACTTATTACCTTCAGGTGTCGGACAAACCAAATGTGTACTTCCATATGTATTCTTTTCAAGATTAGTCTTTCGGACGAATATATCTTGAACCCTAAAACCAATAACGAGTTAATATCTACTTGATTAGAGTTATTTGTTAGCAATAAAAAAGATTACATGGCACCCAATTCCGTGGCTAATGTTGCAAGATACGTTCGTTCTACGCCAGTATACATGCTCATTGTAATAACACAGCCTGACAATGGATTCAAATATTTTTTTATGGATAGCGGTCTATGATAGTACATAATTTCGACTATTTGTTCTTGATTTACACAATCTTCCTACAAAGAATTTTAATAATAGAATATGCCAAGACAACAAGATTTAACGAGAAAGATATTGATACCTACAATAAATAAATCAGTAACAATTTCATTTACTGTATGTTTTAACGATGCACCACATTTTGGTACAACACCGTAATCTGGGATACCAGAAAACGTACTCGAAACTACTTGTCCACCCATGGCTATTATAGTTTCGGCTACGTAACTGTCTTCATCGTTGAAGCCGATTACAACAAATGTCAGTCCTACATAATTGTATCATTATAAAATTTGAACTTAGTATTGTAATTTGTTACGTATGTACTTTAAATTACCTTCAAACAGTTTATCATTTAAAGTGGACATTTGACTAATTGGTACCGCACTATCGTCTGCTAAGCATTTGTTTTTTACGGATACAGACGTTGACGGTGTTTTTGTACGTTTATCTTCTTTTTTATTATCATCGACTAAAGTCTTATCGTTAGTATCTTCTGTGGTAGGTGTTTTTGGCTTTGTAAATTCCTGTAATGTTTTCTCATTTACTGTAACTAGATGAAAAATTACCCATAAATTATGTATTCAAATTTATACTTCCGGAATATTTGCTACTAATTATTGGAAACCATTACCAATGGTATCCTGAAGATATTGTTCGAGAATATCAGATTGATTTTTCTCTTTTTCTTTTTCTAGCAGTGATAGTTTCCTATCTATATCGAATGATGGTATAGGAACTTTTCTTGGTTTTTGCAACATTTGTAAATTCTGTAATGATATATCGATTAAAATAATTATACGTTGTTATGTAACTCGTGATACTTACTTTTTTACTTAATGGAGATGGAGGTTCTGGCGGTTTCTGCATTGCACTATTTATTTCTTCAAATAAAAAATTTTCTTCCGGTGCGGGGCGTTTCAATTTAATACTTTGCTCAAGCCATTCCAAAGTTAGTATAAAAGGACTACATAAAATAATGACATTGTTAAAGAAAGTATAACCGAAAATACTAGTGTAGACATTAATTTTATATCGTACCATAATCCTTTTGACTTCATTAATTTTAGCTCACTAATTGCTTTATGCTCGTCTCCCACAAGAACGTGTGTTAAAACGTCTGATATATCGTCCAGTCGTGTCGCACTACCGACATTTAATATTTTATTAATTTTATCCCTTTGATTAGGAGCAAACCCAGCAAGATAAATCTGAAAAGTAGAAAGACGTAGATCGAAGAAGTTGTATGTCATAATATTAAAAACTAGCACACATTTAATCCACATACATTGCATCCATCTAAAAACGGACCAGCCGATTTTGCTTCACTTAGAGTTAGTCTATCAAAAACTGTAGTAACAAAAAATAAAAATTTTAATATAATTAAAATTAAATATATTATTAATCTATTTATGATATTATTTACCATTGGAAACACCATTCGTTAAATGTTCTACAGTAGAAGTACTGCTCACTGTTGTAGTTAAAGTCTCATCAACACAACTGCCCTGTTGCAGATCACATGGAATCGAACTTATAGCAGAACAATTAAGACTTTCATATACTGGTACAAATTTAAAAAATAATAACATTAGTCATCAAATTGTAGTTTTAATATTGTAATGCTATTAAAGTATTGTTTACCATTTGATTTTTCTGGAGTAGACGATACTTTTAACGACGTGATCAAATAATTTTTAAAAGGCAGAGCATAGCCCACTTTTATACTCTCATATACCCAATCTGGTGTTAAACAAGCAATGTTTGCTTGTTTTGCATATTTAAGTTTATCGCTTATTGGACTATTTACAGGTGCAAGCACTACCTTAACTTTTGCACCATCTAAAGGACCCATAAATGTCTAGAAGAAAAACAATGATGCATACAGTGAAATAAAAAAATTGGAGATGAAATTATCAAAAATATATATGTTTTACCCCTCCATTGTCATTAATTAAATGTTTGATTTCTTCTTTTTGACGTTTCGGAAGATTTGTCGACGTGACTACTAAATTGAGGAAAACAGGTGCTTTATATTTATCAAACATACTATCACTTGCTTTAACAAAATCCTTTAAATTTGTTTTCCAAATTGTTTCAACCCATTCCTTTGTGACTATTGGTATTTTCATGTCTATTGCAGTCTGTTAAACAAATCAATAATTAATCAAATATTACAATAGTACTGATTTAAATAATAAAATAAATTCACTTGCCTCATATTTTGCAGACATAACAGACCCTGTCACAAGGTGGGTCACACGACTACGTAACTGCTTTGTAAAAATACCTCCCATATATTCTACTAATTTTGTTATATGATCCTGCAACCATTAGATTTTAAAATATCTGTAAATTTATGATTTAGTTATTAATAACTTTTAATATTTTAAATATACTTTTTCTTCTGGCGGCAAACCAGAAGCACAGATGCAAAGACCTCTCATAGCAGTAGTATATACTGGATTATTTCCTTCTGGAATTGGTTCCCCATTAATGAAACAAATTAGTAAACATCGAGGTCCAATTATACTGTAAGATTAAAACCATGTTGATTGATATAAAATAAAATTAATTACAGAACCTATTCTCATCAAATGATTCTACTTACGGACACTTAAATGTTTTCAACTGTTCAAATATATCACCTTCAAATTCCTCCATTACAAAAACATCATTTTTAACAGGTTTCATTTTACTACATTTTTTTTCAGTAATCCATCTTGGCTCCAGATCGTGCTCACAACATTTCTGAAAGAATAATTAATGTATTTCTTTTTACTCCTAAACAATTCTTTCTTTCAGTCAACATTTGTTTACTAACATCAAATGCATGCCACATTTCTTCAATACAATCATTTTCAGATTTATATTTGCTTGGCACAATAAAATAAAGATTTACATCTGTGTCAGGTTGACTTTCTTGAATCATGCTTTAGTTTTCTTCCAAAAATCAAAGGATCATAAACAACTTACATTTATGATTTGTTAGAAAAACATTCTGTCAAAAAATGAAATGTACAAAACGTTATTAAAAGTTAGTTAATCAGTTATAAATGGACTATTTTATATAGATTTACAAACCCTGCTATATAAACTGTATATAGTACGTAATTTGTAATCTTTTTAAAACAATATTGCATTCACTTTTGTGACACTGTGACACTGTGACAGGTTAGACCACGCTTACAGATCAATTTCGAACCGATCATTAATTATAAAAAAATGTGTGTATTTTTTATAAAACAGTGTTCAACACGTTTTGATAGTTTTCTATATAATATTGCAGATAGTAATAAATTTCGCAGTTAAAACCCACTCTTACAATGTCTACGCTACACGACAGAACTGTTCGCGCCTAAATGCCTATGGTAGAAATTGATCGGCTTTGCAATCAAACAGGAAGAATAAAATTCCTTTTTAGCATTAATATGTACATTCTGAATAGATATGTTAATGTAATGTAATTATTTTAACAAACTCCAAATACCGTGCAAGCTTTATTTTTACATTTTATAATTTTACATCAATCGCGTTTTGAAAATAATATTGCTAGCGCCATCTGCTGAAGTTAACAAAGCGCCGTTAGATTAGAATTCGTTTTTGAATAAACTGCTCTTTGTACAATAAATAATTTTGAACTACTTTATGTAAATTCTGTAGGAACTTTATATTCTTGTTTAATGATTCGAGCTCAATCGCTTATTGACAAGCGTTAGAGGGAAACACAAGTCAATTTCTGAGAAATTACTTTTTCTCCATAAGAGCTTTATAATTACAGAATTAAATGCCAGTTTTCTTTTACTTACTTTCTCCATTTGCCCATAAATAAGAAGACAGAGTAAATACTTACCTGGAGAAGGAAATTTAGTTATTAAAGGAAGGAAAATTTCAACGAGACTCGTCATAATATTAAAATAATTTAATCATATAATTCGACAGACATAAGTATAGTTGACACAAATGATATAATGCCACATCGAAGTTGTCGCATTTATATCAGGCGTCACTTGACAAAACCTAATAACACTGTTCTTAATACCGTTGCAGCAACATTAGTTGCACGTCGTTTATTGACAATCGATAACAGATACGTAAACCGAGTAAACGGCTTGTCAGATCTTAGGTAGATAGTTCTCAAACGTTAATTCACATTTTTACATGTCTCGATAGCGTATAAATATAATTTCTCTCGCATATAGCCGATTCATAAACACGTCTGTAACGTTAAAATAAATGGAATAATTTTGTTGCCAGTCAACTATTTAATAATACAAAGTTTCCAATTTTGTAGGTGGTCCTTATTTAAAAGACAATTTAGTTGGTAAGCAATCAGGCAACTGGCGAGTTTCAGTTTAATTAACCTGCAATAATAAGTACCATACGTGAAGTCATACTTTCCTTTCATACAGAACACAACAGAAAAACTCATTTTCACCAAGATACCAAATATAGTACAAAATCTTACTCGCATTATTCTCAATATTTGTCAGATTTGTTATAACAAAGCGCACAGAAATCGCGGATACCAGGGAAAGGGAAATTACATTACATATAGCTCCCCCCTGCATATTTATGCAGTTTTTACTTTGTACCTCCGTAACCTGTATTTTTATCACTGGCCATTCGAGTGAAACTGTAGAGAAGCTGTTCCGACATAGTATGTATCCGATGATTCTCATCCGTAATAAAATTTTTACACCTTGTCTATCATTCACACGATCAGTTTAATAAAAAAGTAAAATGTATAATTAATCCATGTATTATAAATAGTTTTGTAATTATAATACACTGAATTTTATTTTTTATCTTGTTTTATCACTTTTGGGTTATAAGTGAATCGTCGATAATTAAGAACTCCACAATTAACTTAGCGTTAAAATAGTCATGAATAATTTTTCGCTCGATAAGGTGTCATGAAGAAGGCAATAAAACAGCAGCGATTAGAATCTCTTCATTGGCGTAAATAGGATTTTCGTTACGCTAGGTCTTTTAATAACGGCAATAATGCCACACCTACATAATCAAGTGACTTTCGGGAACTTGTAAATGTCAGAATTCGAAGATTTAAGGCATCCTACCTACGACATGAAGTATCCTACGTCCTACCAAATGGTTCATGAAAAGGGCTAGTCCATATCATTTACTTGAGAGGGAGAGTCAGGTGCACTGATAACTCTAGTTACGCCAATGAATTTCTCATGCTTTCTTCCGCGTATGCGAATCCGAAACTCCGAACGAACGAAGCTAAGACGCGCAACGTAATCGTGAACGATTAGGTACACAGTACGGATCCAAGTAAAACGATTATCGATTAAAATATACAGAGAGAACAACCATTTTCGCGATCGGTTGCCACGCGCAGCAGCCAACAACGCCTGTTGATCGACATTCAAGGCTCGATCGGCGCTCAATCTTAAACTAGACGCGTCCCTGTTGTTCGCCAGATAGTTGGCCGTTCTCGAATCCCTTCAGGGAAAGGTCGAGCGCGACTCCTCGAGCTCGAGAAGGATCTTCCGATGAAAAATGCTCCCTCGTCGCTCGTCCGTGCAGCTGGTTATTTGTTAGAAACTGGCTGTTCCAGGTCCGTCGTTAGATGTCACAGATATTGTACAGGTTCAAAGTCCGCGTACCTAAGGGAACATGTATCCGAGGTCACGCGTTTGGGGTGTTGGTAGCCTCGTCCTCTTTGTTCAGCTCTATCAGCTTCTCCAGAGAGAACTGACGTGCCCTGGCTGCCCAAACTTCTCCATTCGCCAGTACTCTGCAAAGGAAACCACATGATAATTGATTACATTCGACTTTATGTGATTTACCAAATACTTTCAACCGATAATGGTACGGTCTCCAAAATGTTGGGCTACCAGAAATTCGTTAAGCAAACGTTTCCCGAACGAAACTATATAGGTTGATCGAGGATACTGATTAAACGTTGCCCGATTACTCGGTTACATACCGTCTCGTGTTTTCGCTAACCAGCCTGTCCGGCGCTCCGTACACCGGCGGATTAGCATAAGGATCATAGCCGAGCACAGAAAGCATCGGCGCGATGTCAGGCATCTCTCTAACCACGTCGTCCGGAATGTGGCCCACCCACTTGGTCAATGCCTCCAGGTTAACCGGCTTTATGATCTGGTCCGACGACCTCTCGACCCTGCATTCCCAAAAATACAATGGAATTTAGTTTCCGATCACCTTGTATATTCTGAAACTGTTGGCCTGTCGCTGCAGTTCGTTTATTAGCTAGGCTGCATACCAAATGGTGCATTATGTTGCTACAATTACGTAGCATGATAATATAACATTTTGTTCTCGTGCCTGCTTTAATTACCCATTATTCTAAATTTATGGCTCCCGCAATTTCTCTTTTGTTAGAACAGAAGAGATACGGTCGGGATAACTTTTTGTTCCAGCAACTGCTCTAGGACAGGTCCGCGTTAACGAGAAACAGTTTGGCAAAGTTTTTCAATTTTTCATCGATAACTACTCTCTTACTTGCTCAGCGGAACACCGCCTGGTTTATTAATGAATTCCTCGTGATGCATTACGGATTCGTTCCAAGGAACATCGAGGAAGTTGAGAATCTTCTTCATCCATTGACGCGGATGTAGCACCAGTTGCTCGTACGGAACCATCAGACACTTGTCCGTTCCTATTTCCTTGCATTGTCCGTACATGATGGAAATCGCGTGATTCCATTTGATCAGCGATTGCCGGTAGGACGATAAATCAAATCCCGTTATGGTCACCTGAAAGATATCTTAATTACGTATCGTCCGCTTTATTAAGAATCGATTATTTGACATTTCAATAAAACAATATCCGACTAACGCTGCGTCATAGATTAAAAAAACGATATTCTTCGATTTACATAATTCTATGATCCAACGTTCCACTTTTATCCTCTTTTTTGCATTAGAGGAATACGCAAATTCACGCTGGTCTTTTTTCTGTGCCCACCTCTTCTCTATGCAAAGAGTACGTCGCGTTTTCATATTCGCGGATGAAGTGGGATAAATTTGCATGCATCAACCGGAATGCCCGTTAAAGCCACGTTGGCGGTTGGTCGATGGTTCTTCGATCGGATCGGGCCATACCTTTCTAGAGATAATGGAATGCACGGTGGCACGGCCGTCGCGGATCATGAAGATAAACTTGGCATTTGGGAAGAGATCGAGAATGTAAGAGCCCATCTTCAGAGTGAGGGGATCCTTGTTGCACAATCTCGGCGCCGGCTCCGCGTGTCGCGCTATTATCTCCAGGCAGAAAGCTGCTATCGCGCTGTCCATCACCTGGGCAAATCGTTCGTTTTCAGATTAATATCGGCTATAGAATTCATCCGGGTTCCGAGTCTTATATCATTCGGGATTAAATCCTTCGGATAGAGATTCGAACATTTCTAATTAATATTGCTATTGTGCTAATTCCTGGAATCAGTATAAGTTGCAAGGCTTTTCGAACCAAATAACTGATTACACATCGAGTTAATACTTTGATGATACGATTCAGAACTCACCTCTTTCGAAATACCCGCTTCCGAAAGCCTGAGGTTCTCCCTCTCGGACTTGAGCCAGTGCATCCTCATCTGAAGGATCCGTGGTATCACCCTAGTCTCTTGGCCGCACCTGAAAAACGGTATCCTCAATGTTAACATTCTGAGTCATCGATAGATCTTTGAATCTGGTCAGATACAAAGGCCAAATATTTTTGAGGAAGTTGAATGGAACTCACCTGACATCAGGATGCGCATCAAGCATGGCTCGCACCAAAGTGGTGCCCGATCTAGGTACCCCGCCAATGAAGATCAGCGGCATGTAACGATCGTAGGTGTATCTCTTGTGATCGAAAGGGCCAACCACGTATTTCTGCAAAATAGAAATGATCTTGCATTTGACTTCTGGTTTAAGAATCAAATTATAACTGTAAGTAATCTAGCGACCCAATAAGTTTGGCTAAAATTATTAATCTAAAGTCTCGTTATAGTGTTCCAGAATTAATTTAACGATTTTTAACAAAAATGGTAATTCTCTGGATAAAGCTACGGAGAAACGATAATTTCATCGTTAGTTCGGGGTTCTTTAACGATGATGATCAGCGTTAGCGGGATATCGGATGGTGGATCGAAAGTTTCCTTTAGCATCGTTCAAGAGAGCAGTTTATCGAACGTTTCTTATAAAATTATGCAAGGTTGATTAAACTTCATTTACCAACAACTTATCGTTTGTTTTACAATATCGTCTCTGGTATCAGGAACAAGAAGGATCGATAGACTCCGGATTTTCCTCATAGGAATCGCTATTACCTCCTAAAACGTTCGCGATTCGATTCAGGGAAAGTTTAAACGATTTTCTCAGCATCCTGCTTCCGTGTTTTCTCTCGATCGATTTACTCGATCGTCGACCGATGTCGTTTGAAAAATGTTCGCTACGAGTGTCAACGATCGAGAAATATTTGTTTTTCACGGTTGTTATTATCGTAGCGGAATAAAAATGGGAAAAACAAATGTTCGGAGGCTAAGAGAAACGTTCGTAAGAATTGTACCGTGAGAAACGAGGTAAATCTTTTTCCAGCGTTCTGTCAAAGAAATCCATAAATATGTCCCGAAGGTGCACGAGGACACGTTTCGATGCGAACAGAAATTTTGATGCTAGGTTTTTTTGTCTTTAATGAATCACGGTAAAACCTTTCGGTACGCGAAAATCAATGGGTTCTCCGAGTGGTTTAATGAGCCGTAATCAAAGCGAAGTAGGATAACATTTCAGCTGGCATGGAACTCGATTATGCAAACATTATATCAAGAACCTTATCGTCCGATCAAATCGTCAATATGTTCTGCATGATTATTAATAAACGTTGACCACTACTGTTCATCAACGTGGTACACAAATTGAAATTGAATTATCTCGTACAATTTGAATTATGACGTGTCCTACTGGCATTCCATGATTGCTTTATCTAAATTAATTAATTACGAGGAAGAAATATTTCTTCATTGTATTAGCATTCTTTTCAGGATTTCTCTGGTTCTATCTTATTAAACCAACGAAATATGCAGCGACGTTTTACAGAAGATGAGATCGCAAATCCGAATAAATCTGATTAAATCTTGAAATCTAATTAAAATGCTTTCAATGTCCAAAAACAGTGGTGGCGCAGAATACGTTCTGTAATTAGCATTTTTTCCACGTGAAATCACATGCTATCGCGCATCCAGCAATTTTTTCACTACTCTACGCTCATATTTCGCGAGAAACGAATAAACTAGCGGTTTCTGCCCTCGTGATTTATGCAAACAGCTGTAGAAAAAAAGCCGGTAATTAACGTTTCAATTGGCAGGTCATATTACTTTAATTATTACACCGATCGCGTTCTCTTTTGACAAAATTAATTAACCGCGGTTTAATTGGAAGCGCGGCGTATCCTTAGGGGATGCGTTTCAATCACAATTTCGAGCTTAAACGAAAACCCGTACTTCGTTCCTCGGAGAAATAAAAAATGAAGGTGCAAATTTTTTTAACAGGCGTCGCTCGTACTACGAGTACCCAGGAAATTTAACGACGAGCGGGTCAATTAGCGGCGAGATTAAAATTACAATGACATGCAAACGAAGGATAGACCTCATGATACGCGTTATTGTGCATCGCGACGGAAGTCGAGACGGTGTATATAATAAACGGTCTCGATGTGAGACGAAAATTACATTTCTACAATAATTTTAATCGATTACCTTAATTCAGAGGAGAAGTAAATTACCACAACATACTTTCGCGTTAATGAAAAAATGATGAACCCCCATAAAAAAGATCTTTTCTAAACACTCGAATGAAACGTCTGGCGAATAAACTGAACTGCGAGTTAAATCGGAGGTTTTATCGCCGAGAAAAATCCCATCCCCATAAAGGAAACTGTCATTTTGAAGAATAAAGGCGATGGTGAGCGTGGTGGTGCGACGCGTTTTATGATTTTTCAGCGGGTAGGCATCGCGTCGGAAGAAAATAGGAGAAAAAAAGAAGCACACAGCATATTTCGCAATTAGCATTCCTCTTGTAAGGGGCGCGAGAGGTGTAGGCATCGTCCTGCCGACCCTCCATTCTCTTTCGCTTCTCGCCAAAAGCGAACGGAGAAAACTACGCGTGAAACTCAACCGACGCGATTTATGTTGCACGGAGGGTGAGCTCGACAGACACTCGTTTCTCTTCCGTTCGCTCCAGTTGTCGGCTGTAACCTGCGAAGCTTCGAGCGTACACGTATTCACGCGTGTTGCTTCTTCTTGTCCCTCGTTTTTTTTTCTTCTGTTCTCGCTTGGCGACACGACCGGGAAAGTCGCAAAATATGGGAGCGAGATCCAGGGTGTTGTGCAGGCTTTCGAGCGGCTGCGATTTCATCCCTTTATAGCAGTGTTTCCCAACCGGTTTAGAATCGCGACCTCCTTTTATAATGGCCAACTAGCACGACGATTTAAACCGTTCGACATAATTGCCTTCTTTTTTTTCGAACAATCGATTACTTCCGCAAAGAATACTATTTTACACATCTGTCAATCGGATTGTCGTTTGCGTTGCGTATAACAATAAATTTAAGAAGAAAGACTTGTTTTCTCGACGGCGATGTATTTTCTGAAGGAAGAGTGCCTTTTCCGGTCATCGAATAGACACGTACCTCATCGATCACGAAGGGAGAGGTAAAGCTGCTGGGATTTTGATAGATTGGGATCGATCAATCGATTCGAAGATAATTCAAAGTCGTGTCCTTAGGATCACAACGGTCCAATTAGTCAGCTAAGACCACGTTCGAGATTAGATCGCAATTTTCCTCCTGGTTCGTTCCTACCCGACGCTTCTCTGCTGCGAAGGTGACGCTGACGTATCCCCATCGCGACTAATCTCCACGAACAAAAATCCAATTTCAAAGTTTCCGCCGCATAAACGAAGTTCCAAGGAAATTTCTGGCCTCTTGTAAGCCACGATATGAGTTCATAGCGAGCACCGAGGCACCGAGACTTCCCTCATAAGCTATGCATAGAGACGCGTGCAAGCTTGTCAAAGAAATTTCCCGTGTCTCGTGAACAATTAAAATATTCGCTGCGAAAGTCAATCCTGCCCGAGTCTTTGCGTAACACGCGATGCCGTTTGTCGGCGCGATCGATTTTGCTTCGTGTCTCATCAACGCGGCCCCTCTACATAGTAATTAATTGTTTTCATAAAGGGGACAGCGTAGGAAAATTCGATTAAGTCTTCGTCTTATAGGAAACGAGGTAAAACGGTGTTTAAGTGGAAAATACGAAAAAAACAATCGTCGAATTTTAATACTCTTGCAGAATATAAAAGTTAATCTGCTGATTTTTAATCGTGCATGTCTTGGAAGCACTGTTTTAACACTATAATGGAGGTGTCACTGGCAGTCGAGAAGCTAATTTTGTCGAGCAAATAGAAAGCGAAGAAAGAATCCAATTTCTCACCTCATATTTTATAACGAGTGACCGTAAAAATTTATGGATTTCTTAATATCCTCGTCACACTTCTAATGGGGTACGTTAACAGCCCGTTGAAGGACTCTCAATAGAATTCTTTCGATTCTGAATATGAACATTTCTCGAATTTTAGAAAGTACTCATCGATTCGGTTACTTAAGCTCGCGCTTCGCAAACATGCTCTAAGAATAATCGAACAGAGTGTTTTCCTTTCGACGGGATTAGAGACATTCGTCTTCCGTTTGGAAAAATAGAGAAGCGATAAGACGCCGGAAAGAAAGCGTATCCGATGATCGGAGGAGCAATTTTTCCGCGAGAGATGTTTGTTCTTCGGATCAAGTTTCCATCGAGTTACCTTTGAAGTTGCAACTGTCTACACATCATTTAGAGAAGTTACAACCACGTTTTAATGGCAACATGGATTTTAATGCCACGACGCAACCTTTGACAGTAATCTCTTTGTTCCTCGTTCCAGCCATGCTTGTTAAGAGCGTTTCCGACGAGCAAAGTTGCCTCTTTGGTATCGCTGTTATCTTTCCTCTACGATAACAAGATAATTCGAGCTTGACCGATTTGCGTTTTCCCTGCCGGTCACGCGACCGCGTACTCCGTGCAACTATCGCAAATAGCCAAAGTTTAGAATTTCTTGACTTATCTGAAACTTGCAATTTTCACGCGATTCAATAAAGATGTAATTCGACGTATCTCGATTCGATATCTTCAATAATTACAATAAGTACGAAACGAAAAAATTCATAAGCTAGAAAAAAAATAGAAAAGACAAACGTTTAAACGATTAGACAAGTCGTTCAGAGTTAATTAATCCGAAAAGAATTCCACAGTGTGAAAACGGTATAAAGAACTTAACACGAGGATCCCATCTTCGATAAATTAAAGAGGAATTTCCGGGGAATAAAGGTAAAGGAGAAAAAAGTCGGGAAAATTTAATGGTCGTCACCTTTCGTCGTCGGAAACGTGGCCGACAGAAGAAAACGAACGAGTGGAATGAAGTTAATTCGCGCGATAAAGTCCGGGTGGCGTTACTTTAATTACGTCTCGCCCAATTCCGGTAGATCTCCATTGAAATTTTACCCGAGATTCGTGGAAATGACGTGAGACGACGACCACTTCATGCTCCGACGATCCAGCTAATAATAATCGAACTAATGCTCGTACCTTCGGGCTATCCAATAACAAACGACGCGACGTCTGTCTTGTCTGACTACTTCGCCGCTCTACTACTTGCATCTCCTCGAAATTCCTTTCCTATTCAATTTCATTTCTTTGCCGATTTCTCCGTATCTCTCCATCGAAACGATAATCGTACATTACTTTCGAGAGTTCGACGCTTGTGACCCAACATAATTTCCGTGGATTGAAATTCGCATTTTGGGAATCTTCAATTTCACAGATTTTCTTATGGATCATATTAAAAATCGTTGTGAATTGTCAGCTTCGACCAATGTCCGTTCGACTAAAATTTTCAACCGATATTTTGCATCAAGATTTTTAATCGAATCCTTGAATTTAGAAACTGTGGTGGTCGGAGCATTAATAATACAATCCCCTGGAGTAGAAAACTCATCGAAACTAGTTACAGTTTGCTCGTACGTGGAACGCGTTAACTTTCTGGTTAGCAACAAGCATCGGAAAACGAATCCTCGCTAATATCCGTTCTTTTTGCGTCTCTAAAATGATTTTAGAAATACAGCAATTTCAAATATACGAGTGTTCGCTAATTTCCTCGTTCCTGAGAAAATGTTACGAAACAGTCTTTGTGTTATAGTTGTTCACGATCGTTTGCTTCGTCGTATTGTTCGTCGAACCGCGTTATTTCATCCGTGGAAACATGAATGCGGCAAAGTTGGCGAAACTCGTTTGTCCAAACGTTCGTTTGGGAATCGCGGATTGTTCGAGAGCCCGATTGCGCCGGTTACGAATTATTTGCAGGACAGTTCCGCGAAAACTGGGATAAAACTAATTCGTAATCGCTCGGCTACAGAGTTTTCGAGCTGCGCTCGTAAATCGTCGACACCGTAATAGCGCAATGCATGCTGTGCATGCTGTCTCTGCAACTTCGTGAAAGCTTAAATGCACTTGCACCTAAGTGATTTCTCCCTTAAGAATAATTGCAACGCGGTTTTTAAATGGAGGATAAAGAGCTGTGCTAGTGGACTTTAAATCCTCTGAATAGTAAGTATCCATGAATTTATTACTTCAAATAGCGGTGATCTCCAGCTTTATCTCCAACCTACATTTTTATTTCGACGATGAACTAATTCGGATCCAACTCGAACGTTGATAATTCAATTGAAATTAAAATACATATACATTATGTATGTATGTATGTTAAATGTATGTTGAAGCAATCATTTAACACGTAGACCGCCACAGGGAAAACTGACTATGGTCAGACACTTTATAATACAGATTAAGAATAGGTGTACTTCTTTCAAAATTTGAAATCTTTCAATGTCTTCTCTTGATCTACTAATATATTGTCTCAATATTAAGCTCTTAAAAGTTCCTTTAATTTTCTTGTTAATAAACGATTCGATTAAATTCGCAGTGCAGATCACGCGTGACCACTCTGACGTCAGCGTGTTAATCTTTCGCTTAAACCTGCAGCGTACTTGCACACGGAATCATTAATATATTCGGTGGGATATTCGCATGTCAATCGCTAGCTGTCGCACATCATTATGGTCATTTGCAATTGTCAAATATCGATTCACTCGCGTATGTTCAGTTGCTACAAACAACGTACTCCATGTAAGATCAGTTTGCCCTTCTATTAACCCCTTAACCTACTTTTTCCAGGCATGCGTCATGTATAATTTATTGCTACAATAAGATGAATAAAGAAAGTTAAAAAGTTGGTACCCTTGAAGATTATAATTAAAAGTGGAAAATTGCGATGTAAATACGAGACTGGTTTATCAAGCATGTGTGCGTCACGATGTTGTAGGGCAAAAGGTTAATAAGTGTATCGATGCAAGGGTGCTTGTCACAGCGAAAGGGTTTGTAAAAGGGAAGAAATAATTGCAGAGAAGAACTCACCTCTTTCGCAACCATCATCGCAGTGGGCGCGTACTTCATCGATCCACAAATGATTCCCAGCTGATAGAGGGCGAAGATCAAGAGGAGACCGGCGAAGCAGATGATGGGCCCTTTTCGGCCGCCTCGACTCAACAGGAACGACATGTCGTCGTCGAGAACGACGAGCACGTCACTCGCTCGCGCGGATTTAGACGTGTTTTGGAGAACGCGCGCGCGCGAGCGAGCGTGCACCGATGCGAGCGGTAGAATCGGTGCGATCACGACTCTTACGAATACTCGAGGCCAAGGTTTCAGGGCCTCGCGGTGTCGGTTACGCCATTAGCTCATTGCACCTGTTTAACGAGAAGGAAAATTTCATTAGGCAATGCTACAGTTGATTACCGTGTTTGACAGCGTTATGCGCTGCACTGAAAATGATCCTTGTATAGTCCGGCTTATTATAGTAATAGTTATGAACGCGGTGCAGCGGAAACGACTGTGTTTAGCACGGCAAATTATAATCGCTGTCATTCGCGACATTATCAGTTTAATTATTCGCGCAGAATCTCTGCTACCTTTTTTTAATACTCGAATTTTATTCGCTATTTCGGTTATGTTAAAGTTTAAGACGGATGTAGAGGTTTTATCGGTAATTATTCTCTTTCGCGTCGTAACTTGTTTATGGATATAATAAAATAAACCGAGAGATGACTTTTCTGAGATATTTTAGTATTAAAAAACTTCATCCGAGTCGCGACGGTTCTATTTTAATATTTAAACGTGATTGTACGAGGTAAATACATTATATGAATGGTAATGCAAAAAAGGTCAAATTTATAAATGAACGATAAAGCATGTGTCGAATAAAAACACGACGAAGAATGTTACATTATTCACATAGCAGAGGAGAGTTTGAAACATTTCCAAATTTGTATTATTCATCGGGTGATTCGATAAAACATTGCCAGCTATTTCAACGTTTCGTGATCGATCTGTTCTGTTTATATCGTCGTTTCAACACCGAGGAAAAAGGGGAACATATAATCTGCAGGGAAAAATCGTTACTACCCCTGCTAATATTTATCTCCGATCAGTCGGAAATTCACGCGAGCCATCGTAATTCTCGTTCGATGGCTCGATGCCATCGAGTTCCTTAAGCGTACTTTGATTTAGCTGCTCTTCCGTTTTGTGGCTCCGTTTTATGGAATTTATGGATCGGACTTGTATTTATAAGGATCATCGAATTGCGTTAGCGTAATAAATTATCTGACCGTTCTTATATACAGAAAAGATGAACAGACGCACTCGTACTGCAATATTTTACGAAACAAATTTTGTAATTTATTGTTAGAATTGGAGTAACAGGGGTATAAAGTTCTTCTTCTATGTTTTATTTTTTAATTTTCAATTTTGAAACTCAAGAGTTACAGAGGAGCTACAAATAAAGCAGGAAAAGAATTCTGGTTATACCAGTGGCGTTACAGCGTCAATAATTTCTCCGAAACCGATAGAAAAATCCAAAGGCAGAATAAAGTAAGAATTTTGTTGAAGGAATATTTCGTTGTACCGCGCTTCGCCAGCAACGTTGTTAATAACATCGTATTGTGTGCTTAAAGAATTTCCGATACTTCCAGAAGATAAGCTTGTAAATTTCGTTGGGAAAGTTCGTTGGCCACGTTCATTCGATATTAGTCCGGCTAAAGTGCAGTTAATGAAATTGGAACGAACCGAGAAAACTTGCGGACGTTCTTCGAGGAGAATTATCGACTAGGTTTATTCGCGACTCAACTTCGGACGAGTTGAGGATCGATGTTGAAGTGAGAAAGAAAAAAAGATAGACTGGAGAGGTCGTCCTGGTAATTAGATTGAAAAAAATTCCTCTTTTTCGCAGTTTCCGAAAAACTTTGCTCGATCACGGATGCGGGCTCCGTATCGAAACGAGCGGCTGATGAAAAGTAGCGATCGGATATAAAGAGAGGAGAGAATGAAAACGAAAGAGGAAATCCGTGCAACTGGCACGTATATGAGCGGGTTGTATCTATTTTTCCGGCGACAGCTTTCGAGAAAGGCTTTCCATTTCGCGCCTTGCCTTTGACCTCTCTTTCCACCGAAGCTCACCTTTCCTCGAGCGATGAAAGATGAGGACAATCGCCACATATTGCTAGCTCCGAGCTACAGCTCCAATCTTACCATCCCATTCTACCTTAAATCCTGCCCTCGAAATAAACCGTTACTTCGTTTCCTTATACCAACGCGATTGTTTTCTGGATTTCCAGCTGCTCTTGTTCGATCGAATCGAAATTGGCAATGAACCTTTGAAGGAAACGCTTGTTATAAAGCATACGGTAACAGGCAATTTCTGCGACAACCAATTTCCAAACACCCCTTTCAATCGGGATGTTTTATTGTCGCGAACTCTCCACTTTCCCGTGTAAACGTTCTTTTGTTTAAGACGTTAGTTTCATAGAACGTTCAATTAGCGAGAACACGCTAAAAGTATAATATAAGCCGGCTCGCCTAAGGGCTCGTTTCGTTACGTAGTTATCGTTCGTTCCCACGGACCTCTCACATTTTCCCTCGGAAACGCAATTGAGGCTGGCCCTCGTTTCTTACTTTAATATTTATGCCGCTTTTAATATCCATGCAGGGCAACGGTTTATTGCAACGTGCAGTGCATTCGTGCGGTTCCGCCGAGTAAATTCGGACGAAATAACAGTGCTGAAACGAGGCCGACTGCTAATCCTCCCCGGCCAAACTCTTTTTTTCTTCTTTTTATTTTTTTCGACAATATTGTTACGAGCATGTTTAACATTTTCGTTGCCGGGTATTTCGGCTTGCCTAATGGGGAGATGAAATGTTTGACGATAAAATAGTACTGCGAGACATCAGGATAGTTAACAGTTGTACGGTGGAATTAGAACAATAGTAGCGTAGTGCAGCTTCCACGCGAAATTGCACACTTTTTAATCACCGTACATTTTGCTCGAATTTAGCAACACACACGTACTGATTTGAAAAAAAATTGTCAGGGTAATTTCCCCTGTATGAAATCTTTGCTTTTTCCCTCAAATAAAAATTGTCGGAAGAGCTCATTAACATCTACGAATTTACACAGACGCGAACAGGCAGTGACATAGAAATATCACAGAAATGTGTCATAAACTTGGAAATAAGTATGCATTATCTAACACGACCTGAATGTGTTGACTTCCAGTAATTTCTCGCATTATTCCGCGAGAATATCTTGCCAACTATAGCAGTATCGAAGTTCTTTCATTAAACTCGAGAGAACTAGTGTCCCCACGGAACAAAGTGTCGAAGGATGACCTCGACGATCGATAATGTTGCCAGTGTCGGGACAAAGAGCTCTCTGTGGTGTACAGAGAACTTTCGACCCCATCGGTCAGGCCTCGATTTCTCACGAAATCGCATGCAATGCCGAGCTGCTCGTGGCACGCGAATTTTTGTTCCTATCCTCCACTCGTTTCGGGTTATTCAATTTTTTTTTTTTCGCGGATACGTTATTTCCAGACATATCGGTTTACCAGGCTGGATTTACGGTCCAGACTTATAGCCAGCTGTTCGCATTTCACGCGAGAATGTTTGCCGAATTTTTAGCATTTTTCGATTTATGACGGTCGAGGAGAAAAATGAATTTTTAGCATAAACTGCAAGTTTTTCATTTTCGATGCGAACTGGCGCGATTCGATAACGCGAAAGAACGTGGAAATAGCGCTCATGGTTTATCAATTTGTAGATAGAAATAGAAAGCAATTTACGTAAACGGATTCACGGACGATCAATATTATTAATATTTCAGTGTTATCAATGTTATCGAGTGTACGAGAGAACGGTTTGATGTCCATTGTGTGTACCGTAGTTTGCTGGAAACCCAAATATTAATACAGACGACGATAAATACAATAATTGCTGTAAAAGCATTCTTTTGACTATACTTCGTTGAACATTAATTCGAAACAATAAATACTGAATGTATGACGTAAATGCTGCTTCAACAAATTCGGTATTATCCACTCTCGCGGAAACATCTGCTACAGTTTAATACTAAAAAAACCTGACACAATTAAAGCGAAGGGTGGGTGTACTCCTACATTTCTGCTTTCGTTGCGTGAGTTCGCATCGCGGTGCTCTACGATAACCGCAATTTCTGCAAAAATTGCAATTCCGCAAACGTCAGCTTGAAAATATTGCATGTCGTAATCTTGCAATTGCTGTATTATCAGTAGTTAGAAATTCTTTCAAACTACGACTCATTACCTTGGAAAATGGACTCATTTCTGAAGAAAAGTGGAATATTTTGTTCGCGAGTCGCTTTTGAAATGGTGAGGTTTGCCATCGATTTGATTGGCACAATTTTTTTGGACGACGGTTGGGTAGATTTTTATGTGTAAAATTGTTATATGTTGGATTGCAAGGCAATCTCAAGTACTTAATACCAAACCTACCGATATGTAATGTGTATTCCTCAATTCCATATTCCCCAATTCCATATTTCCCAATTCCATATTCTCCAATTCCCACATTTCCCAATTCCCACATTTCCCAATTCCCACATTTCCCAATTCCCACATTTCCCAATTCCCACATTTCCTAATTCCCACATTTCCCAATTCCCACATTCCCCAATTCCCACGCTGTCCAATTCCCACGTTGTTCCCACATTTCCCAATTCCCACATTTCCCAATTCCCACATTTCCCAATTCCCACATTTCCCAATTCCCACATTTCCCAATTCCCACATTTCCCAATTCCCACATTTCCCAATTCCCACATTTCCCAATTCCCACATTTCCCAATTCCCACATTTCCCAATTCCCACATTTCCCCATTCCCACATTTCCCAATTCCCACATTTCCCAATTCCCACATTCCCCAATTTCCACATTCCCCAATTCCCACATTCCCCAATTCCCACATTCTCCAATTCCCACATTCCCCAATTCTCAAATCCCTAAATTACCACGTCCCCAAGTCCCTAAATCCCCAAATCCCGAAATCCTCAAATTTCCAAATTCCCAAATTCCCGAATCTCCAAATTTCGAATGCCACAGCTACTTCGTATGCAGCGTTAAAACGACGAGTAAATCTACAGTACTCGTCCAAGTCGAAAAATCCCACTTACGTCAGAAGTCGAAAGAATTATCGGGATGTTTCTGGTTGTCTTACGAGGCGACTAAAAGGGTCCGGGCTAGCAGCCAACAATTTTACCCGGCAGAAGGTTCGATCTAAGTTATAACACTTTGCGAACGGTACAATTGATGTTGGATAAAAGGGTAGCAAATTTCTCCAGCAAACGTTTACCGAGCGAGTTGCGTTCGTAGCGTAACATTA